GGGTTTAAAATCATCTTACCATCATTGTCCCATATCAGTTGACCTCATGCTTCATTTTGTAAAATATTGACTCTAATTTCTACGTAAATTACAAGAAATGTCTTGGATAAATTGTGTATTCTATTTTCTTTCATAAACGTAATCATTAGTAGCTTAAATAATTTATTTTTATTTTCACTTCATAATATGCTCGATAATTATTAAAACTTCAAAAAATAAAAATAAAAAAAAAAGTTAAAACATATATTCAGTTCCTATCCAAATTCAAATCCTTATTTAATTTTTCACAACACTTTCATTTCATATTGAAAAATGAGAAATCAAAGAATAACTTTTGATTCTGAAAGACTTAAACTGGATCATTCGCTCTGTAGTACCATAAATATGTGGAAAAACTTATATTATGATTTACCCAAAAAAGATAATGATGTTTTTATGTGCCTACTACATTAGTTAAAGATAATATTATGTTTTATAAAAAAAAGATAATATTATGTAGTGGAAGTATTGACTTGTTAATTAAAATTTTCACACTCATGTATTCATGTAACATTATCATATATCATATAATTACTAAACTATACTAATACAGTTTAGTCATGTCTCACCATAATACACCATATTTTCATGCGTGTAAGAATGTTGTTGATAGTCGTGGAAAATTTGTTTGTATGTTATATTAACTAAAGTCTGACCTAAATACACATATGGTCAATTCATAAAAGAAGCCACAAAAATATCAAGTTATATATGTAATATGTCGTCTCTGTAATCAAATTAAACATCCCTAACATACTAAAAATAATACCATTATGCTTTCTCTAATGCAATTTCAATTTTTTTTTTTACAAAAGATAATCTTATATTGATCAAGAAAAAAATGCAATTTCAATTCTTTTATGTTTTTCTTTTTCTTTGTTTGACATTGTCTATTCTTTTTCCTGCCATGCATACTTAATAAAATCATAGTTTTCTTTTTCTATAATGCAATTTAACTTCCTTGTTTTTTCCTATTTTTGTTTGATATAGACTTTATAATCAAACTCAAACCATTGATTAGATGTAACAGGTGAAGTTTACATAATTCTGTAAGTTCTTTTTTATATTTTTTGGTAAAGAACCATTAAGCACGAAAGTAATTAAATATCAAAATTTTAGATAGCTAATTAATGTTAGAATTTAGAAAACGTGGAAGTGATTAAAGCCCAGTGTACGTTATTCACACCTATGATTTTTACTTGGATAATTCATATACATTCAGAACTATTGGTTTTTATTTTGAGATTAAATGAATCTTATAGTTGGAGTCGGAGAATTTTGGATTGGTGTTCAATCATTAGAGGTTGGAGTATAGTATCATGCCCAAAAATCCAACTAATTCAAAATTTAAATAAAAAAAATAGACGAAAGTATGATAAGGTAAGCATATGTCAGCCTGAACTATATAAATGAAATTATGAAGTATGCACTGACCCAACAATTGAAGTTTCTCTGCTTTCGTTCCCCACCCTATAAATTTTGGGAAATTCTTGCGTCCAACCCTCATTGGAGCTAGAGGCTCCAACCTGCCATTTGGCAGCCACATATTGGCCAATCAACCTTCCTTTTTCTCTTATTTTAATTATTTTTTTATTCCTTTAACATTAATCACATTATGAATTAAAAAATGAAAAAAAAAACATATTGGACGGAAACGGCAGGGAGAAGGATGGAAGTTGGGAGGGCAACTTCTAGATTATGATTTAATTAGGTCATATCTTAAGTTTATATGTTCTTCTATAGGAAAAAATTGGTTAACAGGCAAAATATAAAGTCCTCCGTAAACGCGCGCCTCCATGCTCCATCTCAAGTTCCCAACCCTCCGACCTCCGCGCCATTTCCGCCATCCGCCGAGATTTGGGATTCAACAACAACACCTCTTTAGATTTCCGGGAGAAAGCCCTTTCCAACGGCGCCGATTTCGGGAGAATTCCCATCGTGGAAGACCGGAGCGGTTACGGGAAGAGAAACCGTCCGGGGGTCCTTAGCCACTTTAGATTTTCAACCCGCCCACTAATGTCGAGCGTCTCTCTCGCTCGGAGAAGGTCTGTCCAGGGTGAGCGATTGCGGAGCGCTCTATGAGTTCCGTCCAAGGGCGGCGTTGGGCGAAGCCCTGGCCGGCGGAGAAGGAGCGGCGGGAGATGAAGTTGCGCACGGCCGACGTCGCGATTGGAGGCTGGGTTTCGGGCTAGGACGTGAGGTTCGTCACCGGAGTGGCAAAACGGCCGTTTTTTCTAACGGTAGCAACCCTCAAGAGATCCGCCAGTTACAATTCCAGGGAAGTGTGGTGGTTACGTTGCACTAGCGGCGATTCAGATATGTAGTTCCTCTCCTCTTTATTCTTATTATTTCTCTAGTTCCTTTATAATTATCCTCCCAATTTATATTTTTCAATTATTCTTTCCATACTTTCCTCCTTAATTTCATTATTTATTTGTTCCCATTAATATAGTTTCAAACTCTTTTATTTTTCCTTTCCTTAACTGTTCGTATATAGCAACTTTTCAGTAACTATACGGTAAAAAAAAATTAAAAATTGTTATTCTTTTGACATTGTTAGCTTTGGATTCGGAGTATCCGACTAAGCCTCAATGGCTTGTTTAAGTCCATTCGGTGGAGCTTAGTTGTCCTACAGTATGGGCGCTTGTGTGTTTGTTTGTTTTGCAGGGGCACCTAGTTTTCCCTCGACCATACAAGAATCCATCCACTAAGCTTCTCAGTGAAAGTTGGCACGGGCCCACAATTGTTGACGGTTCTGCATGCACATGGCAATGGGAATGGATACTCTCCTTTTGCTACAAGGATGACCTATCCTCTGGCTTTGGCACGTGTTGTATACCCGCTTGTATCCTTTGTTGCATTTCTTAGGATACTGACGAGCTGCCCATTTAGTGGCTAAAAAGGCTCTTTTATCGACGGATTGATTAGCTATCGACCGCCGCATTTGGTTATTTTATTTTCTACATATTTGTAAGCATACTACATTATACTTATACACCTACCTTTATTTTTATACACCTATCTATGACAAAAAAAATTGGTTGCAACAAAAAGAAACAGAATACAAAAATTGCATGTGCACTGGAACCAATTTTGAAATACTTATGCGTTCAAATTTTGAAATACTTTGACAATTTCAAAGTGATATGACCATTGTACAAAATACTATATATATATATATATATCACAATATCATAAATAATTTGACAAAAAATTGAACACCATACTTTGTATTACAGTGCCAACATAAAAGAATATCCTAATAAAAGAAACAAAGTCAATAATCCATGGCGGTTGAAACATAAATCTTGTCACAAATTTTGATCATCAAAATAGAATTTGCTATTGCTTCCTGCAAAAAAGAGAAAAATTTACATCAATTTAAAATAGTAGTAAATAAAATTATAGAACATACATAAAAATTATTCTTGTTTTCTATACCTGTAATAATTGAGTGTATGATATATTGTTCAAAGATATTGTCGGGTCGTGCTCTTCATGAATATATCATGTTGGTCTAGTAATCGAACTTTGAGATTCATATTGTTCAATCACCGCCTACAAAATTTGAAATGTATCAATGAATAGAAATATATACAACTTCATTTAGGATAACAAATATACTATTTTTTAAAATATTTTAAAACAACAAACCTGATCATTTTGGATGTGAACTTCATTGTAACTTTCAATTAGTTGAGAATCATCAGCTTTCATCTTCTTGCCCTATATAATACTAGGATCAATTAAGAAAACAAACATAAAAGAGCAAAGAATTTCCAAGCATACCTTTCTCGGATACCACTAAAGCATGAGAATTGGGAGAGCAATACCACTTAACGAAGAATAGGGCATCGCGTACTACTGAACTATATTATATGTGCACCCGGTACCACTTAAGTTTACTGCTAAGTGCATTGCGTTAAAGTTGATAGAATATTGTTGGAATATTCCATTTTTTAAATTTCAGAATTGGTCCTTCTACTTTTCTTATCGTAAAAAAACCATTTGGACTTACGAACAACATAATTTTTTTATTGTTTAATTGGAATCCTCTTTTGAATACTTGATACCAAATCAATTTTTGAATAGAAAATTTGGAATAAATTATCATTATAAGTATTTTCAATTATCATTATGTGTTCTTATAATTGAATTCTATTTTGATATAAATAATATGAGAATGTTATTTTGATATAAATAATATGATAATGTTATTTAGTTCTCTTTCATCATTAAGATGTTGTCTAATTTTCCATGTTAAATCTCCTTTTAATTATTTAATATTATATTATAGATGTTTCATATTAGTTAAATTTATTAATTCTAATTCTTTTCTATAGTCACATTTTCTACATTTTCTTTTCTACATGTTTATTGAACGTTGTAGTTTTTATAGTTCATTTATTACTTGGTTACTTCCATATCTTTTCGTTCTAAATGTTTTTTCAATTACTGGAATATGTTTTTATTCCTTATGATTGTGTTCCATTTATCTTTCTTTGGTGTTGATGTATTGATGATCGATTATGTTATATTTTAACTATTTTTAATGGTGCTTTTAATTGAATTAGGGTGTTTAAATAGATATTCAAATATTAATTTTAAATATTTATTATTATATTCTAGTATATTTATTATTTTCTTAATTTTCATTTAATATTTTTACTAATTTATCTATTTTATTGAAAATTTTGATTAGCCATTTCAGTAATAATATGTTTAGAAGATTTTCTAATTTTTATATTAGATAAAACTTGTTGAAATATAGTTTTGGATGTTTTTAAAAGTTTTCTGTACCAAAAAGTAATTAAAAGTCTAGGTTGGATGGAAAAATATACGAATGTACATTTTGTCTGACTTTAATGGTACCCTATTCAAACTTACATAATATGTCTACTCCAATTCTCAAATACGAGTGGTATCCCATATATATTTTACCCTTTTGGCTAAAATCAAGTGTGTAGTATCAACCTATACCAAACCAACCACTTGTGGTCACTCCATCGTCGGTCGATCGGTCCAAGTTTCCGGTCCACGTGAGGTTCCAAATCTTCTTCATTCATTCATCTGCGAATCCTGCGGCCAAGGAAGCGCCACGTGTGAGCCCCAAATTCAACTGGCTGTGGTCGACTACACGCTCGAATATTCGGTGCCCACTCCACCTCAGAAATCAGAATAAACCCTTCCTCTCCCTTCCCTTCTCTTCTTCCTTTCCTCTCCCGGAATCGGAAATCAATCAAAGGGCAGGGCATAATATATAAGAGAAATTTGGCGTTTCCCAAAAGCTCCCTCCCTCCATTCGTTCGCGTCCAATCTCTCCCTCTGCGTTCGCCTTTTGGATTTTTATGCAATTTCGTTCGGCCAAGCTTCTTGCCTCCGGAATTTTAATGGCTAGATCGTCCTCAACCTCACCTGCGTTGTTGCCGTCTTCGTGCTCCTTTCGTCGATCAGCGATTTCTTTTCAGTTCCCTTGTCCTGCTTCCGATTCTTCCAGTTTTTATTTTCCTAGTCAGCGTGCTGTTGGATTTTGACCGCCGGTTAGGGTTTCTTCGTTCGTCCGTTCGTTCGTAAGCCTCAGCCGCCGCCGCTAGCTAGCTAGCAATAGCAATGGGGAAACGTAAGCGATTCTCGGCCTCTTTTCTGTTATTCTTCATCTGTTGGGTAGTCAATTTCCGAAATTCACATGAATCCTGGTGTTATTGTTTGGGGGTTCGTTTGCCCTTGTTGATTTTGTTTGCCCAATTGCTGAAAGTTTCGGTCTTGGAATTGGTCGCCCTTGAATTTTGTGGAATCCTAGGGTTTTTCGGCTTTGGGCTTTTTGGTTTTGACTTGTTTGTTAATGTAATAATACTAATAACAATTATTGTCGAGCTCGTTCAGGTAGTAATAGAAAGAAGAATGCCTCCATGTTGGAGAGCGATGATGATGATAGTAGTGTGAGTTCATCATCGACTGTCCGTTCTGATCTTATCTCCGTAACCGGTAATGACGAAGTGGAGATTGAGAAGGATAACTTACTGGATCAGGCTTTAGATGCTTTGTACGAGAAGAGGTTCGTCATGGGAATGAAAATCCTTTGCATTATCAAATGGATTGGTGCACTTTTTGGTTGATTGTGAAGCTGACTATGGGTTCTCTTTCGTGGTTTAGGAGTACAACTAGAGAGAGAGCATTGGCCTCCATTGTCGAGGCTTTCAATACCAATCTACAGCATGAGTTTGTGGAAAAGAAGTAGGGCACTGTGATACGAGTTCTTCTTAAGTCTTTTCCAAGCGTGTATTTCTCATTTAGATAGCTCTTTGCTGTTCTTGTTTCCGTATGTAACCCACTTGTTTTGGTATTTGCTCAGGTTTGCTACTTTGCTACATCAATGCGTAAGTTGCATAAAAAAGGGGTCCAGCAAAGAGATAGCCCTGGCATCTCATGCCATTGGTTAGTATTGTTAGTCGAATTGCTTGTTAAAGTTCTGTATCTCGCCTTGCATTCCCTAATATATGTGTGAAATGTGCACTTTCTAGGATTGCTGGCCTTAACTGTTGGTTTTAAGGATAACGCTCATGAAATATTTGACGAGTTGATCGCCCCAATTTCCCAGTCACTTAAGTCTGGTTCAGACTCGTTGAGGAGGGTAGCTGTAAGTATAGCTCTGTGGAAATCGTCACTTGGAATTATCATGTGATATCGAAGGTTTTGCTGATTATGGCTATCCTTTTGCCTTTGGTTTATGATTGCAGTTGGTGGAGTGTCTTGCCATTGTTACCTTTATTTGTGGAAATGGTCCCGAGGAGACTGAACAATCTATGCTGATCATGTGGCAGTTGGTTCGCCCTAAACTTGGCCCTAATGTATGTGCTCCAAAGTGTACTTGTTCTTTTGATTTTGTTTGCAACTTTAGGAGATCCGCACTCAGTGAACCTGTTGTTTTGTTTGATTAAATGTTAGGTCGTTGGCGTGAAGCCTTCTAGTCCTGTCATTACAGCAGTGGCGTCTGCCTGGGCGTTTCTTTTGACATCCATGGACGGGTGGACATTAAACCCCAAGGACTGGCAAGAGTAAGCTAGCTTTCTTTTTCTGCTTCTGCATCATGATTTTTATCTTTCGAGTACATGTAGAACTTAAAGTTGGTTTCCTACTAGTTGTCCTAGAGGTGATTTGAAGGTTTGACTTCTTGTGCAGGTGCATTTCCTACTTCTCCTCGCTCCTGGATAAGGAGGACCGTACCGTACGAATTGCTGCTGGTGAAGCATTGGCTTTGATTTTTGAGATGGGATGTCTGGAGAAGTTTGCTGCCGAGGCCTTTGAAAGCTCTGCTCAAGATGGGAATAAATCTTATGCGCATGTGCAAGGTCTAAAAAGAAAAATACTAGATCAAGTGAAAGACCTTGCTGCAGAGGCTGGAGGCAAAGGGTCTGCTAAGAAAGATCTCAACAGCCAGAGGAACTTGTTTAGGGATATATTAGATTACCTTGAGGTATCAAAAACTTTTGATCGACTTCTGTCTTTTTTGACTTTTTGGTTGAAAAGGCTTCCAAAATCTATCTGGCCTTATTCTCAGGGGGGTGACAGTCCTGAAGTCTCGATGAAGATAGGTGGGGATTCATTCCAGACTTCAACCTGGCATCAACTAGTACAGGTACCCTTTGCATAGTTGTGACTTTTGTTTGCTACTGGAAGAATTCTGTGCCCATTTTTTGTGGAAATATTAAATATGAGTACTGTTTACTTAACAGCTGAACTTCTTGAAGCATTTTCTTGGAGGTGGATTTGTCAAGCACATGCAGGTATGTCCTTTTAAGTTTAGTCTTCATGCTGTGTAATCATTGTGTTGCGTAAATCATGTTTCTTCATGCTGATTCTGGTTTGACAGGATAATGAGTGTCTCCACGAAGTATTTGGATTTGCACCAAAAAGGAAACAGGGTGCTGAGGCTCAGATGTCGAGTGGTGATAAGGTGAGATTCTCTTTGCCATTCAATTTGGATCAGACCCACTACTTCGCTGCAACTAAACCGACTTGCAATGATAATTTTTGCAGAGAATGTTCCGGTCCCCAAATTCATTTCTGAACAAAGCCAGAACCCAGTACATGAACAAGCAACGGATGCTGTCTGAGGTACGAGCTAGAATTCCCTTTTGTCCAATTTTACATGATGATAATAGCATCTAGGAATCTTCAACTAATTGGAATCCTCAATTGTTTGATTTACTGAAATTTTCAGGGGAGAAATGCTGGTCACTATTCCTTGGATGCTGCTGATGAATAGGCCTCAAAGGCAGCAGCATGGCTTGATCTTTCCTTGGTGGTTGTAATTCACTGAAATCTGCTCGGACATTTAAATTCTTATTATTCCCTAGGGGTTTGCCAGGGCGAATGACATAAATTACTGAAGAGCTGTGACAGCATATCTTAGTTTTGTGGATTTAGATCCTTCATGTTGTACAATCAAATATGATGTGCTGCAATTTAGTACTTATGTGGAATCACTAATCCTCGGGTATTGTTTTTTGTTATTTATTTAGTTGAAGGGTGTTTCCCCCTTCAATCTAAGGGTTCGGTCCAGGCGCGCAACACCTTTTTGATTAGTGATAAAGATGATGTTCAACATACGTCTTTGTAAAGGTTAAAATGCGTCGTAATAGGAAAAAAAATCAATACGTTTTAGATGGCGCCCTCCTAACACGCAGTGATAGCAATTTCAACTCGTCCTGCGAGTATTATCCTACATGATTCGTGATGTGGCGGGTATTACTCGACCTGTAGTAGTGTTGGGTGGAGCATGTATATCTACTTTCGATCCGTTTAGTCCTTGTCGTCCCTGATTCATTTTATATTAATTTCTTATTGTATTTATACATATTTCTCCTAACTTGTTAGACTCAATTACTCATTCTGTTATAATTATTTTCATTCATAAAGTGTTTTCTCATTCGTTTTATCATAAAAAGTAAAATTTGCGTGTTTTTTTTCAAATAATATATAAGAGTGGGTCAAACTACCCCGCCCCATACTCGCGTGGGTTTTACCCATCACGACCCGCAATAAATTGGAGCGGAGCATGAATAGTGAGGTAACCGCCCCGCCTCGCTAATTGCCATCACTACTAACACATACCTTCCACCATCTACACGGATGTTTTGCAACTCGTACTAATTCAATTTGTCTAAAATTCTTAAATTCTATTCAAACGAATTCGGATTCATGTAGTAAAATTATAGTTTAGTATCTTTATATCTTGTACTTTGTGATTTTATACCTAAACTTTACCTTTTTCAACACAAAATATACTCTAAAATTTACATTTTTGCACCTAAGTTTTTTTGTGAGACACCTGTCTTTGCCTGTACCCAACCAAGGTAGAAATTTCCTCGTTGATTAGACGGAGAAGGATTGAATAACGACGGCTTAAATCGTCTTCTCTATTTGATGCAAATAATTTTATATATATGTTTCAAATTATGACTTATGAGAGAACCAGGTCTGATTTTCGCGAGTAGAAGCCATAAACAATTATGCGTAGTGTTTTGATCCGATGTGGATCGTTTGTTGTGCATTCGTACTAGGGGTGGCTATACGGTCCGGTCCGGTTAAATTGGACCAAATCGATCCGGTCCCAGTCCGGTCTTTTCGGGAATATAAGGATCAAAGATTGGATTGGATACACTCCGGTCTTGACCCGGTCCGGTCCCAATTTGATTTTGATTTTAGATTGAGCTTGTGGGGATTTAAGTGTTGGGGTCTCTTATCCGGTGTTTATCCGGATTTTTTACCTCAAACCTAAGCCCGAATATGAGATTGGATTGTTTGCTATCCGGTCCCAGTCCGGTCCCGGTCCGGGTTATACGGTCCGGTTTCGGGTAAAACCAAACAGTCCTGGACCAAATTGCCAGCCCTAATTCGTAGGAGTGGTTACCATAGAGATGAAGGGTGTCAACATGGTTTAGCTCTCTGGCACTGATGATAATGTGGAATGTGGGTTAATAGTGTGCTCGCTTTATTCCGATTTAGCCTAGATAAATGAACAAAGTCGTTATGTTCATAAATTTTCTAAATTATATCAAATCTTACCTGACATATAAGTAATAACATTACACCCAAATAACATTTCTAAGTTGGATCTAACATTTGGTGAAAATTCACGCACTCATATAACATCAATATTCAAATGTTCAAATTACGTTTTATTCACTTTCATTCCCGTTTCAGATTACCATTCCATAAATCTGGCAACAGAAACGAGAAAACATGTACACTTTTCATTCTGTTTTCTGTTCGTTTTCAAATTTGAAAACAGAAAGTGAGCTTCCTACTGTTTTGGAAAACAACAAAATGTTGTATCCGCCAGTTTTCAACATTTGTTTTCTCATACTTTCAATGAACACATTTTTTTCTCTTGTTGATGGGGTGAATCATTTGAATGACATTAATGATAATTATTTTTTAATAGTTTTATTTTAATCCTTTAATTTTTCATTTTTACCAAATGAATCAATAATTTATTTCAATTCAAAATGAATTACTTTTTTATTATATAATCTCACCTTATAGACTATTTGACTTAGGGGTGAGCATTGCGTAGTTGAACCCACAAATCCACCCAAATCCACCCGCAATCGAACCACTCATTATCATGTGAGTGGTTCCTATGGGTGTGAGTTGTAAAATAGGTGACCCACAAAAGATTAAGTGGATGCGGGTGGACTGTGGTTGACCCACGACCCACCCAGCTTTTTAACCTCAAACCATCAAAATATAGCTACTATTCTGCTTATAATAATGAGTACAAGTTGGGAACAAATTTAGAATGAAGGTCACTTGCCTGTACTCTGCAAGTTGTTCAGTCTGTCCATAAGGTAGAAGTTTTTGTCAAGGTTCTTTAGAAAAGGACTATCACCTTGGTTCTCAAATGTTGAAAGTGAAACTCCGTTGATCTCTCTGAACGTTTGGATCAATATCTCCGCGCCCGTATCATTGGATCCTCGACATTTGCAGGAAACATCTTTGTTACTTCTGGAAGAGACAACGTAAGTTCTTTGCAATTCTCAGCGATAACATCTTCAAGCTAACTGCAACACTTGATATCATCCCAGCATCTCCTTGCTGAGAAAACATCATCCTGAACCCTCGCTGAAAAGAGGGAATGAGACTGTCATGCAATCTTGCTAGCATGATCAGCAACTCGCCATATTCATCACTGTTTGGATACATTCAGAGCATCAGATCAAGCCAAACTTCAAGGCATTAGAAAGAACCGAAAAGAGAACAGCACAAAACCTACTTCCAAAGATAGCACTTTGAAATTAGAATCTCTCAATCCAACAATTAAGAGATAAAAACACAGCCCAAAAACATTATTTGCTATGACAACGTAGGTTACAGAGCATTTTGAAAACTCTTCCCTTTCTCAGTTATGCACATATTTGGAATAGAGACACACCTCATTAGGGCAGGGAGTGAAAAGAACAAGGCTGCTGGTTTATATGCAGCAACCAATGCATCCGTAGAGAAAATAGCATCATTGATGAAGTCCATCACCTGAAATGCGACCGTTGAAGGGTTAATATTCAATATTAGGAGACACAGAATGGTTCTATAAGAAGCTAAATAACATAAGTAAGAATCACCTCCAAGAAATCGTTATGAAGCTGACTGAATCCAGCCACTTCAGGGCTTGTGGACGAAAACAAAACCTATTATCACATCACAGATAACAAACAATAATTAAAGAATCCAGGAGTAAAGCTGCTATATATTCTCAATACACTGATACACCTTGCCTCAATGAATGAATCATGGTGGAACAGAGCTCCACAATCATGAACTCCACGTTCCGTGCAATCTAAAAATAGAAAGGAAGTTGCCTTCCAAATGTTAGAAAGCATACCTCCATAGATGAAGTGCAGCGTTGATACATTGTTTGGACAATGCCCAGAAAGTGTGACATTACAGCAGTCGAATTATAATGGACGCCAGGCTGGGAGTTCAAAGCATTTATAACCTGGGCGATCGATTCTCTTTCTGTTTTCCTCCATTAATACGTGTGACCCAAGTATTATAATTACGCGCTTGCTTAGTCCATAACATATACACTAGAGCAGCATTTTCTAGTGTTCCAACTTTCTGTTCCTTCGTGTTTTACTACTTTTTTTTTTTTTTTTTGACAACAGGGCACACGTTTCATTCCAAAAAAAAAAAGGCAAAGACCAAGTTACAGAAGGGGCGACACAATATCAAGAACATGGACCCAATCCGAGGGAAGCTGGTTCCGAGCACAAGATCTGGCCACCCAGTTTGCTTTGGAATTCCTCTTCCTGCAAATCCAGTCAATTCTGATGTTGGGGTAGAGTCTGGTAAGGCACAAAATTCTTCCCGGGTTGGCCGCTGCTAGCCACGGCCAATCTCTCGGCAGTCCCTGGAGAGCATTCACCAAAACCAGGCAGTCCGACAGAATCCGACAAGGGACATTGAGGTCAACCGCGGCCAAGGTCCCTTCAAGTAGAGCTTTTACTTCTGCCTCAATTGGAGAGAAACAGTGCAGAGGCAGCCTTCCCGTCAACAACTTGACCATGGTCGTTCATAATAACGACGCCATACGCCGCCTCCTGGGGATCGTGTATAAACGATCCATCACAGTGTACTTCAAAACAGGGAGTACTTGGCGGTGGTAAAGTTGGTTCGGGGGGTGGGATAGGCTGAGTTTGGGTAATTGTATGTCTTTTTCTGGGGCAGATTCTCCATTGGTGAGCCTCCTCCAAAGCGTGGGAGGATGTTGCAAACACCCTTGGTGGCTTTGCCCGGAACACCTTCTCGTTCCGCGCCTTCCAAGTATGCCACAACAGGTAGATGCAGTTCTGAACACGATCGAGTGTCCCATTTTTCGACAGGGAGAAAAGCCAGTCCAGCACATTTGTGAGGGGAGGAGGGGTGGCGAGGTCCGGGAAGAGAAGATCCCATCCACTAGCTGCGTGTGGGTAGAGGAAAAGACAGTGGTAGGTAGTCTCTGCCGCATCGTCACAGACTGGGCAAGTCGAGGATGGGGAGCATCGTCCGGTCTGAAGGTTAAAACGAGTAGCCAATGCTCCTCTCGAGGCACGCCAGATGAAGAATTTCATTTTCGGTGGCAGGTGAAGCCTCCATAGCCAGTTCCATCTCTCTTTGGTAGTGTCATGAACAGAGAGCTCTTCTCCTCGATCCCTCCTCCACACTCGGTGGATCATTTGAAAGGCAGATTTGACCGTGAACATGCCCTTCTCGTCGAATCTCCAAGCCCAGTAATCCCTCATGGTGCTGGGGCCAACAGGTGTGTTTGCCACCTCCTGAATTTCTGAGTGAGAAAGGAATTCCTCCAGCAGGTCGAACTTCCATTCCCGGGAAAGGGGATCAATGAAGTCCGCGACAGCAGAGGAATTGTCATTGTCGTTTTGTCTGAGGGGACCAGCACGAAGAAACAGCCAGGGATCTTGGAGGAATTTGGTATTTTTTCCATTTCCATTGACTCTGATAATTCCTTCTTCCATCCACTTTCTTGCCTCCCAGATACTAGACCAGATCCATGAGGCTTTGCTGCCTTTCTTTGCTCTGGTGAAATCAACCCGCGGGAAATAGAGGGCCTTCAGCAGTCTTGCCCACAAGGCCTCGGGGTTCGTAAGTAAAAGCCATGCTTGCTTTGCAAGCAAGGCAAGGTTGAAGACATGGAACGGTCGGAATCCAAGTCCTCCTTCTGATTTATGGGCGTAGAGCACTCTCGCTGCCCTCCAATGGATTGACTTTTTGGAAAGAGACCCGCTCCAGAAGAATCTTTTGAGCATTGCATCCATCTTGTTCGTCATTGTACGAGGGAGGAGGAAAAGGCACATGATGTAGGATGGGACCGCCTGGAAAACAGCTGTGAGGAGGGTTTCTTTTCCCCCTGGAGACAATAACAAACTCTTCCATGCTTCTCTTCGGTCTTCCAGTCTTTGAAGAAGAAATTGGAAGGTTTCTTTTTTGCATCTGCCCCACTCTGTGGGCACTCCAAGGTACTTGGAGTGAGCATTGGAGCAGTCGAAACCAATTGCCTGGATAACACCTTCCCTCTCCGTTTTAGTGACGTTCTGGCTGAAGAAGACAGAGGATTTTTCCCGGTTAACTTCCTGTCCTGTGATAGAGCCATAAGAATCCAAAATCTGCAAGATATTCTGTGCTTCCCGGATTGAGGCATCTCCGAAAATTACGGTGTCATCAACAAACAGGCAATGGGTCAGCAGGGGGCAGTTTCTGTTCAGCTTGAGGCCTCGGATGTCTTGGTTCTGAACCGCTTTTTCAAAAAGGAAAGAAAGTGCATTGGACATGAGAATAAAGAGCAGAGGAGAGAGTGGGTCTCCCTGTCTCAGTCCTCGGGATGGGGTGAATTCCGATGTTGGTTCCCCGTTCAAGAGGATTCGGAATTTGACCGTTGTGATGCAGGCCCTGATCCAGTTGCACCACACTTCATTAAAGCCGTAAGCTCTCAAAAGCTCAAGGAGGAAGTGCCATTCGACAAGGTCATATGCTTTTCGCATATCCAACTTCATCATCATTTCTTTACTACCACCAGTTCGAACTTTCTTGAAGTGATTAAGCACTTCATGAACTATGATAATGTTGTCTTGGATGAGCCTTCCTCCTGTGAATGCCGATTGGAGCTCGTTAACCAGACCCGGGAGCCAATTTTGTAATCTGTTCGTCAAGATCTTTGTTATGACTTTGTACCTGAAATTGCAGCAACTGATTGGCCTAAACTGGCCAATCGTCTCTGGGGAATCCACTTTTGGGATGATAGTAATGAAGGTGTCGTTCCACGAATCTGGCATCATTCTGGTTCTGAAGAAGCTAATGATCTCTTCACATAGCTGGTCTCCGATCAGATTCCAGAATTTCCTAAAGAAAAAGCCCTGGTAGCCATCAGGGCCAGGAGCTTTGTTCGCTCCCAGGTGGAACACCGCTTTGCGGATCTCATGAGTCTCAATGTTAGCAGTAAGGGCTTCATTGATCTGGTTGGTCACCAGTTGCGGGAAACCATTCAGGATTGAGTGGTCGAACGTCCCTCCTTTGCTGGTGAACAAGTCTCGATAGAAGTCGATGATGTGACTATCCAGTTCCTCTCGTTCCTCAAGCCATTCTCCCTCGGAGGTTTTCAGTGCAACTTCCAACTTGAGATCATCATCTTACATGAAAATCGAAAAACAGTGCAATAGTTTGAATACCTTAAGACAGAAATCAATTCACAATCTCAAGCAAGCCACATAGCTGAAGAGCAATAGTCCTAAATTTATTACATTACACATGATGATTACAAGTTACAAACACATCTATGGACGTCCATTATTAACCTCCCCACTATACCCTGCAGCACTGTTTTTATGCAGAAAGCATGGTACAGAATTACAAACTGATACAAGCTTACAGAACTCAATATCTATAAAGCTGTCAACGGGCAAACAAATCTGCCAAAACCCTACTGTTTTCCTAGTATGAAATCCACTCTCACAACAGAGTTCACAATTCAAAAACAAAAATAAGAAATCAAAGCCATTCATAGTTGGTTTCCTTGGGCAGAATCAAACCAATCAACCCACAATGGGATGAAGATGCATCAAAAGCGATAGACAGCATCGAGCATACTTCTTGCGAGTAAGGAAGTATGAAGAGAAGCCTTCCCCACATTGGTTTTGAAGGTGGGATTTTGATCACTCCTGCGCATTCTCTCTGCTTCAAGTACGATATGAAATCCTGGTACTGCACGGGAATTTCAAGGAGAGGGGAAATATGAATGAACACTGTAGTACCAAAAATCTAAGACCCAACAGCCAAATCTTTTAAATGCAAGTAGTACATAAATAAAAGTTCAAATGCTAAATTGTAATGCTTGATTCATTGTCTTTCTGGTATTTTGTAATTTTGCCGAGAGAGAACGATTGTTAAAAATGAAAGAATAATAAATGGTTTAAAAGGAAGAGCAACATCACCTCAACCAGGAAGACTCAGGCAAAGAAAAAGGATGCAAGTCAGTTAGGATTATTGGGAAACGAAAAACTTACGCCTTTTTTATCAGTCGAGGAGGCAGGGATCAATTGACAGACTTCTCTCTGCAAAGCATTAATGCATAAAACCATGAATAACAAGGACTGGCATGTAAATGTTATACAATAAAGCAAAATGAGCCATCCAGGAGTAAGAATACTACAGTCCGTTCATTAGTTTAGTCAAGACTTCTGAAATGTTTTCCGCATACAATTTGCAGGCAGTTGTATAAGAACACAAACATAACTGATTCAGTTTTTTTTTTACCATAAAAAGAAAAGTTAGTTCAGTTACATGATCCAAATACCTCCTTACACGGACCAACAACCCCTTTGATATGTTTTAAAAGAGGAATGTTGCAGTGTCTAGCATACAAAAAGATGCACAAAATGTAATTGGATAATCCTATCCTCCACCGACTAGTTTGACCTTCTCCCATTCTTCCCTAAAATACCCCCACCAGTTTGGATAGATGAGTGTTGATTAAGGTTTTGATTTAGAGTTTGTTAGATAAATTCCGACCAATTAATTTTCCTTCTCACCATGGTGAGGGAAAGCAATAAAGAGAAGTGGACCAACTTTTGGCAAGCCAGCAACAGCAAACCCTCATAATACTCTCGTCATTCGTAAGCAGTAAAGTGAATTAGAGAGGGCTCCATCGTCATCCACTAAGGGACTCACCTTATGTGTAGGGGTACTGGAAAATGTTGATTTTACATGCCGAAAATCAGTTCGTTTTGTCATGTCGAGCCTACTGGGCCATCTGCACCATCAGAAAAGTTGAGAGACTAAGTTGACTTGTTGGAACTCCTGACAACAAAAAAGTATTAAATAAAACAATTCTTACTCTGCAGGTTCTGAGAGACCGTTTGAGTACTTGCAAAGTTCTGAGTCCACTCCGATTACGTTTATCGTACAATAATGAACTCCACTTTTGCATAATGCACCTTGCCACCCATATTTCCAAGAATGGCCAGAAATCCCAGGATCAGCTGATTCAGCAAGGGGTGGTGGTGGAGGTGGTGAGCTGGGTGGAGGAGGAGCAAGTGGCAATGGAGGGGGGATTTCAGCGTGAGATGGAATAGCTGCCAAAGGTGGAGGTACTACAACAGGCATGGAAAATGACTGGTCATAGTGCTGCATAGGAGCTTGTTGTAACTGTGGTAATGTAGTCATTGAAGTGGGTACAAAAGGAGGCGCATTCCCCTGGAAGCTAGTGTTTATCAATTCTGATGGGACCTGACTGAAAGGAACATGATTATTTAAACCTTGAGGATCCCAGGAGCTGTTTGGAGGCTGGTATGCAGGTTGAACATATGACGCTGGCTGGAACTGAGGTTCATTGTTATTGTACATCCACAATTGTTCAGCAGAAACATGGCTTCCTGAAAAATCATAATTGTTTAAGCAGAAGGATCAACAAACGCTTAGAAAGTTGAATAGTATAATAGTTCCTTTTTTATATATAAAAAATATATATTAGTTACCTGCATGTGGAGGATTCGACGAACCAAATGGATATCCAACCTGTACTGCAGCAGTTCCATTATTTTCCAAATTCATAGCAGCTGGGCTCTCTAGAACAGCCTGAGCTTGGCCTGATTCATTTGTACTATTACCGATGTTTCCAATAGGATTGGCCTTCAAATCAGCAGCATCTGCAGAGCTCGGCATCGATCTTGCCCCATCTAAGTGAGGCATTCCAGCATTAGATGTTAAGGCATCAGAGGGAGGCAGAATTTTCTCCTTACGGTACTGCCTGAGATGAACCATGACAGCAGTCGCTTCTTCAGGTGATTCAAATTCCATAAGCAATGCTCCTTCACTGTAAAGGTCAGTGACCATGTAAGGGCCTCTGTATATCACTTTCTGTGATTCATGTAGAACTTCATCTCTTACCCATTGGCTGGAAATGTTTCCAGCATAAACATAACGACTGGAACCAATTGCAGCCCCATTAACAGAGCCCCTAGTTCCCAATCCAACATCCATGAACTTTATCAACCAAGGGAAATGGCTTCTCATATATTCACGTGCCCTTACTGCATCAATGGTGCTCCTGTACTCGGCTAATGCAAAGCCCTGGACTGGGAAAAAGAAAAATTGTTCCATGGGACCAAATCTGTCAAGCTCAAACCTTAGATGAACTTCAGATGCATCAGGACTTAAGAAGCCAACCCAAAGCTGTCTAGAAGCAGCAAAAACTTCCATTGCAATGGGATCTCCATCACAGAACCAAATACATTGGCCACCATGAAGTGCCCCCAGATTATCTTTGGGAGAATTGGAAGTGTTAATCAATCCCCCAGCTGAAACAGGATTTTCAGCAGAATGATTATGCCTTCTAGCCTCAAATGAATTGCTCCTGAAGTCCACAGGTCCTCTCGTAACAGGTGAATTCTTGTGTTGGTTCATCACATCGCTGGGCACCGACGACCTTCCATGCGAAGGACCTCCAGGGTCACTAGTCTCCCAATCCATGGATCTCAATGATCCACTAACTTGATTACGACCTGCATTCCAACACAAGTCAGTACCAAATTTATACAATTCATGGCTTGTTGTAGTACACATATGACAAATATTATTGACAGAACCCCTTCACTTACCATCTGCACTACGTGGTTCACCATAGATATCTTGATCACTGGATTTCCTATGCGCCAAGTACTGTTGATTCAAAAGGTCCGAGGGATCAGAATCATCCTCATCATTGTCCATTTGGCTGCCTTCTAAATTCCTAAGTTCTGGAAATGATTCAAATACTTGTTCAAACGAAGTTCTAGTTGCCGATGCATCACCCAGTGAAGGTCTATTGAAGAACTTCTTACATTTTAGGAACATCCAGCTTCTCAATGACACGTGTTTCTGTAGGACCTGCAAATATGAAGAGCCAGAACAAGAAATCAGGGTCAAATTTCAAACCAACAACTACATTCTTTAAACACTGGAGAAATGCCCAAAAGACAGTGAACCATGCATTTATTTTCCAAGCATGCGGAACATAATCCCAAGCAGCTATTTCAATAAACCAAGAACGATAGACACAACTTAACTTTAGAAGGTACATTATCGTATATACCAGAAGCAGGAGAGAGCATGGAGGTCATTATTCTAACTGGGAAAGATCACAAATTGATAAGCAATTCTAAACATCCTAGCCAATTGTATGTAGTTAAACGAGTAGATTTTCTGTTGTGATTGGACTTTATCCGTACCAGAACTATATTCTGGTTCAACAAGGATGACAAAGAATTCAGATATAATGCAAGATCTACCACTGGTACAAGCTACAAACAAATGGAACAGAAATTACTATAGGCAGAAATAGAATGTCTACTGACTTCCGTTTACTTTCCCTGTTTGCTCGAATCAAAGGTCATATAATCCCTTGAAATTACACACCGAGTACGTAGCATCAAAACAAAGAAGGTTGATATGAAGGAAAAGGGGGCATCTTTAGTCTATCTATTTCAAAGTAAGACTGACAACTTATTTCAGAAAAAAATAGAATCTGGTGCAAGGAAAATTGACCAATGAATAATCACATAAGCAAACTTTTAGGCTCACAGATTAATATTACCAAGTGCAGCAACGAGTTCACCGGGAGAAACGATCCACCCCCTGAAACACCTTTCTCATCGGATGGTCTCGTTGACCCACTGGTTAACACTATAGAAGAATCTGTCGCATTGTTTGTATTAAGCTGGCTTGTTAACAGGATAACACAATCCTTTCCTTCCTTAATTTCCTCCATCGCATTGGAACTCAAAAGCTCAAAACAGGCTGTAACTATATTCTTAGGCCAAGAAAAGAAAATCCAAATAAAGCTCAGTGCACGTAGCTTGGATAATTTAGAAAGTGACGGTTGATCTTCATGGCAGAACTTCTCCTTCAACTCAAAAAAGAGCTCAGCAGAATCTTGGATCTTCAAAAAATCATTATCAATAATCTTAAGGATATCTGTTCCCCCATCTGAGGAAAAAAAGAAGGAAAGTGCATTTCTGAAAGCTACAAACACAATTCTTCGTATGTCATACGATATAGAAGCATCTGAAGTCGCAACATGGCAGATATCTGCTAAACCGAAGATGCAACTTTTAGCAGTTTCAAATGGAATATCATCTTTATCCTCTCCTCTTTCAATTATTGCCACGCTCCAGTTGTGCATATCAATAACAGCCTTTGTTGCGGATTGTAGAGCAGTTGGAAAGTTCAATGCATATCGAGGAATTAGATCAGCCACAATCCGTTGTACACTGGAACAACCTGCAAGACTAGCCATACAAATGTCATTGAAACTTTCTTCTTCCATTGGTCAGTCTCTCAAATCTTTTGCCAACGGCCAAGGTAAACACAGAAACAAGATAATCCTGTAACTACTAAAAGAGACGCAAAAAAGGGAACTTGGTAGGACAAATTTCTGGATGACTTTTGTCCTCTGAAGCTCACTCCAATCTCAGGGCCATTGCGTTTACCTTTATCGCCATCTCATACAAAGGAACTCTATAACTTAATAGGACCCTAATCCTTGCCCCTTGCCCATACAAAAAATTGTACTTATTTGAGTTGGGTGGCATACGATGGCCAAATGCCCATAATTGCAGTGTGCCATGGGAACAAAAGTGATGCTTCTCAGGCGAACCCGGGCTAAGGCTCCACATATCTCAAGAAACAAGCACCCATTAATCACATTCTATATGCTCCTGCTTCCGGTCCTATATTTACTACAGTCTCAAATGCAAAAAAAAGGGAAAATTTTTGCCCTAGTTGCCTTCATTTGCACCCCCAATACATAGCATGAAAATCAATTCCATCACTAAAATTCAAAGCACATTTCAACATAAGCTCCATGAGTTAATTCATAATTGCAAACCTTAAAATGATATATTAGGAACCTCAAGAATAATTAGCTTTTCAGCAGTGAGAGCGGAAGACGATGCCCTTACCTCTGGAAGCAGCAATAAGAGATAGATATGCTTGTTCCAGCTCCAGAGAGTGGATTCCATCTTTCTGGGCCAAGAAAAACTTGAGCCGCTTGTACGTATCGTACACACTTCTGATTTCATCTCTGTTTCTCCGCCTGGCGAGAATTTCCTCCTGCGAGAGCGGCGGTGGCGTTCCAGGCGGAGCAACAGAGGTGGAGGGCGGTTGCGGAACTGCCGACGAGTCTGGCGGCGGAGGCGGTTCTTCTGGTTGAAACTCGTAGAGCCTTCGCTTCTTGAGTGGCTGCTCCGCGGAACCCATGGCTCCAGTTTCCAGAGGAGAGCCTTCGCCTTCTCTGTTTCTGTGCTCACTGAAAGTTAGGAGGGGGCAGGTGGGGTTTCGGTTGGGACGATGCTGATCAATGAAAATTAGCGGAAATCACATGGGTAAGCCCTGTCGCGTTGAGGCATATAATGGGCCTCCGGCCCTCTGCTCTCATGGACAAAATCGGGCAGGTTTGAGTTTTGGGCTGGATTCGAAGTACAGTACAAAACCTTTTTCCTATGCGAGTTAGAAATTTATGGGAATTAATAAAACTCGTCCTTAAAATTACTATTGACCGTCCTAAAAAATAACAAAATTACACTTTTAATCCTTTGACATCTTTAGCAAACAAACATCACTTTGACTAAAAAAAAATATGAAAAACACTCAATTTCCCACACTCTTGAATTCATCGTTGACATTCTCGAGTCGTAATCGTTGGGAATACGTCCGAATCAAGAGTAGCAACTCCGACGAGGTAAAAATCCGAATTTTTTTTTCAAAAAAATCCAAAGCCCTTCAACCGAAGCCAATTTTCGGTTGTACCATGGCTCAACCTAAGGCAATTTTCGGTTGTACCATGGTCCAACCGAAAATCACCTTCGGTTGCACCATGACTCAACCGAAGAGAGTTTTCGGTTGGGCCATGGTGCAACCGAAGGTGATTTTTGGTTGGTCCATGGTACAACCGAAAATTGGTTTTGGTTGAGCCATGGTACAACCGAAAATTGGCTTCGGTTGAGGGGTTTTGGATTTTTTTTGGATTTGTTTGGTTTATATTAATAATTTTCTATTCTTTTACTACGATTTATGGTTCGGTCCATAAGATAATTTGTTGGATTTTGGTTTATCTTTTTTTTTTTAGATTTATGGAAGGGGATGGATTGTTTGATTTTGAAATTCAAAATGGGCAATTCGGTAAATTACATATTAAGTTAGGACGATAGTTAGTAATTTTTAGGACGACCTTTAACCATTCAGAAATTTATTAGCCAAACTTGACAATTGGGCTAGTGTATCCAAATATATAATTTACTAGTTAAATTTTTCATGTTGTGCAAAATAATAGTAAAATTTATAAAATATAACAAATTAGACCCAAACAAATATTTAAAAAAAAAATTATATGTTAACTTCCTGTCCAGTTATTATTAATTTGCTGAGGTGCCGAACGTTAATGCTGATATGGAATAGCAATTATTTTTTACTGTGATTATAGGATGCAAACAAACAACCTCTATGAGTACTCTTCTCCTCATGCTTCTGATCTCTACCACAACGTTCTATTGTTCTTGACTCCTTTATTGCCCTAATAACACTCTCCTGCTCTAGAAATTCAAATTTACACGTGCTCGGTGTGGAGTACAACAATAATGGATGACCTTATAAAAAGTCAACTTGAATTATCCCAAGCTAAAACCCGTGAAGGTTGAGGCTCAAAACGCACAATATATTTGTCGGGAAAAAATTCGGGATGTTACAAGTACAAACAAATCCAGAACAAAAAAGAGAAAATTAATAGAAAATCGAAGAGACCAAAGGAAAAAAAAAAGAATAAGCAAAAAAATATATGAAGAATTACAAGCAATAATCATCGCTCATCGAACTAGTTGTATTTTCCTATTAGCTTTGCCTTCAATCCAAGTAAGTGGAGGATCTACTTTGGATTCAGGATCTTTCCTACACAAAAACGTACGAGCTGGGATGGGATGGGATCTTTTCAACTTAACCGCAGCAACCCGATTTCGGTCCTTCTTGTCCAGCTCCAGCTGACTGGTCTCCTTGATTGATCCGAATGGTCGTTGGCTGGCAAGAAACAAAACAAAACACACAGTATAGGGCTACATGGTGGCATTTCCAAAGACTAATTGCTATCATCATGGCTTGAAGTTTGGTACCGGTATTTGGAATATACCGAATACCGCACCAAATTTATCATTATTTGGTATTACCGAATACAGGCTTATTTTTTAGGGATTGGGATTGGAATTCATTTTGGAGTGCTATTCGGTATTCGGGATTACAAGATTGGGATCGGTATATACCGAAATACCGAGAAATACCGAAAACTAAAAATTAATAAAATATAACACACAACCTTTAGTCATTCCTCACTCTTTCACAACCTAGAAGTCCCCATCAAACTCAATTTTGACTTTCCTGTTTGATTGACTATCGTTTCACACCTAATCTCTTCTTATTTTCATAACACCAAAAAGCAAACACTAGTATTAGTTGTCTCTCAACCTCCAATTCGCCAAATTAAGGATTACCAATAACAAGAATTTGAGATTTCACATCTCCTTCATTTTCCTTATCCATATTCTAGCTTTAGGCAAACTCAAGACTCTTTACTTAGTCTCTTTGCCCTAAATTAAACAATCAAATCAAATTTATATATTTAATTATTACTTAAAAATGTAATTAATTTCATATTCGATAATACCGATTGGGATACCGAAGTATCAATTGGGGTATCGAATATTTATTGATTGGGATACCGAAATTATTTAGGGATTGAGATTGGGATTGAGTTTAGAGTGGAATACGGTATTCGGGATTTCGATATTTGGTATTTGGATACCGATACCGTACCGATTTCCACCAGTAAATCCATGGCAGTGGTATGTATCGTTAGCATTATACTAGGAAAGTACCTCGGCCCTCGAATCGGTATCTGCAAGCCTTTGCTTTATGTCCCTTGCTATTGAGAAGAAAACTTCCTCCACATTTAGATTTGTCTTTGCACTCTGCGATTCCGAAGTTCGTGGACAGTTAGTTTAGCCAGCGACGAGATGACTTCAGTTGAGATCTATCAATGTCAATCATAACTTACAGTCTCGAAGAATTTGATCCCGTACTCATCGGCAAGTGCTTGTCCCTTTGCTGTTGGCACCGCCTACCCAAGTCACAAAATCAAGGCCGTAAGGATAGAAAGAATGAGTGATTTCCCGTGTTCAGAAAGGGATGCAATTTATGGAAATTGAAGGATACCCGTTTGCTTTCGTCCATGTCTGCCTTGTTTCCCACCAAGATCTTGTTCACATTATCAGAAGCATGTTGTTCAATGTTGCGGATCCAATTTCTTATGTCTGCGGCAAAATGGTAGCAAGTTGGAACGGTGAAAAACAACTCAACTTTCTTCTTAACCATCACACACATGCATGAATGGGAAGGGGACTAACAGCAACCGGCAAGAGCGTTAAAGGACACATGCAACATTTTTGAACAAGTATTACTTGAATGTCTGTATTTACTATTTAGCTTCAGCTATTATGATAGAGCCTAGAGGAGACTTACTGTTGAAAGACGATTCATCGGTAACATCATAAACCAGTAAAATACCCATAGCTCCACGATAGTAGGCTGTAAAAGATAGCAGCAGATCATCAGTTAACAAGATGACAGAGGAGAAAAAGAAGGCTCGGCTCTGTTTTTTTACAGAGAGCAAGGCTTGGAAGAAGAATAACATGTGCCCACACTCTGGCAAAACTACAGGTTCTCAGAAACTATAGCCTCTAAGCTTTCAGAGAGCCATCCAATATAAGTACCCTCCATCAAAGTCAAATCAACATGAACACAGTAAAGAAATCGACAAGGATACAAGCATGCAAGAACCAATTACTCAGTTGTACGCGTGAAATGTATGTGAAACGGAAGAAGAGTAGTAACTTAAACACGACACCTTTTACCCCTTACAAATGGCATTTATAAACTTACCAGTCGTGATAGTTCTGAAACGCTCTTGGCCTGCTGTATCCCAAATCTGAAGCTTAATTCTCTTGCCATCAAGCTCAATGGTTCTTATCTTAAAATCAATACTGCAAAAGGAATGTACTTTTGAGAATTTAGAGCGGTCAGGACCAAAGAGCAACATGGTAACCTGAACTGCCCGGCCAATGAAGACATACCCTATAGTGGTGATAAAACTTGTAGTGAAAGAGCCATCAGAGAAGCGCAGAAGAAGGCAACTCTTGCCCACACCTGATAATACAGAGCAATGTCAGTTTGCAGATATAGATTGTGATTTTCTGAATCTTAATCAAACAAGAACTTTCATTCCCGGAGCTGGAAACGGAATGGGACCCTTAAGATACAGTGAATATAGGATTGCAATTCTGGTCATCAAGTTCCAAACTGTTTCATGTTCAACATTCTAGCCATCGTATTATGTCATATTTATCTTCGGTGTTAGAATTCGCTCGTACACCTCAATCAATCTAGATTTCAAGTAAAATGACCTGGCAGAAACGAAGATAAAAATGCATTGCAACAGGAAGAACGAGTTAGGTCAAAATCTCAGAAAGTGCAACTTTTAAAGCCAAAAATAGTTGAAGCAGATATGAATGTAATGACACCATGAAACAGCCAAAGACCAGGCTAGCTAGTGAAAGTAACAGCGTAAGGAATTCATCAACGCTTGAAGCCCAAAGCGGCATTGTTATCTGTTTCATATAACCAAATCATAATATGGGACCATCACTCTTTCTCCTAATCCAAATTTTTTTTCCATAAAAACGTCAATTGGATCGCATTGCTAAATACGGAAACCATTAATTCCATGATCAAGTGCCATTAGAATCACGAAGTGGAATGTTCATGGACTTCCTTTCCGGACATCAGATCCCTTGCGCTGGAGGAAAGGAATGGAGAAAGGAGGCGTAAGAAATAATGTACGTACCGCTGTCGCCAATCAGGAGTAGCTTAATGAGGAAATCGTAATCAGCTCGAGCTCTGGCGGGCGGAGCGGCCATTGTAAACGACTCAGGAACAAAATTCGACCAGCACAAAAAGAAATCACAGAATCAATCAACGGGGCGGTTCAACTTTCTGCAAAAAAAAAAAAACATAAATTCAGAGCGTGGAAGGGGCAGACGGTACCAGATCAGAAATCAGGGAAATAAGATCGGAGTTACGGAAGTGGGCGGGAACGGAGATGGTGAAGACGGCGGGCCTCCGAGGGGGTCAGAACCGGGAAGCCATGGCGGCGATTCAGAAAGATAGAGAAAGGCGGAAAGAGAGACCAAAACTAGTTTCTTAATTTTCCTGTTTTTTTCTGTAAGCGGATGGATATTTTTGCGGAGCAGTGTGTGTGTCCACTCCAGAGAGAGAGAGAGAGAGAGAGAGGGGCAGAAAGTAAAGCTTTGATGAATTCTTCTTTACCCCGCGATAATGGCGGAATGGGATGCTACACAATAAGAAGAGCATTTATGAATGAAATGAAAAACTTATAATCTTGATTTTGAGATGTAATGAATCTATAAGAGCATCCACATCTGTCTTGCAAGATGTCATTTTATTTTCTCTTTAATTTATTTTATCAAATTTTAAACATAATATTTAAATATATATTTAATTGCAAGTGAATTCCATTGCTCAGGCACTGTAGTCAAAATCCCGATTTAAATCCTAAAATCCTACGATTTTACTTACTTATTCCGATTTTGATTTCACAATAAAATCTATGGACCTTAAAATCCTACCCTATTCATGATTTAAATCCTTAAAATCTTTAAAATCTTACGATTTTATGATTCATTTGTGTCAATTTAATTTACTTATTTTCCACAAAATTTGCAAAATTATGCCTCTTTTCCTTCTACTTCACCAACATCATCTATTTCTCTCATACTAACCACCATCGACCATCATCAATTCACGTCAACATATTCATCATCATCGATTCACCACTTCTTAACATTAACCTTGATAAATTGGGACATTAACCTTGATAATTAATATTGTAAGTGTTATGTGTTTTTCTGTTATTCGTGATATTATTCCGTCTTCATTTTTATATGGACCTTAAAATCCTACGATTTTAAGTTTATGATTTTACCCACATTTTTCGATTTTACGTAAAATTCCGTTTTTGACTCCCTTGGGTTGCAATGACTAGGGCTGGGAAAATAGACCAGACCGTTAGAAAAACCATGGTCCAAACTGTACCGCACAGTTTGGTCTGGATCGTAGACCGTTAAGTATGGTCTGGTCTGGTCCATGGTCTGGTTTATTTTATGTTTTAATCTCTTGGTCTGGTCTGGTCTAGACCGCGGTTTACCGGACCAAACCGCGGACCCAACCGACTTGTCAATACGTGAAAATAGACCATTCGATCACCCTCCCAACTCACACAACGACACCCAAATCTCAACCTTAGTTTTGAGAATCTCGTCCCTCCTTCGTTCACAACCACATTTAACCAGAGAGTAGAGATAATCGTGTCTCCATATGACATTATGTTAATGTTTATAACGTTATGGTGCAAGTTTGTATGCTTTTACTTTGTATTTTTGTTATTTCTAAGATTTAGGATATCAAAATTATTCATGCATGTTAGGATTAATGTTTTAAGCCAAATAACAGTTATTTTTCTTGGTTATTGGTTCAATTTTTTGTGTGGTTGACTAAACAAATTATTCATTTTTCTTTGAGTGTGGTCTATCTGGACCAGAGCAAACCAGACCGCACAGGCGTGGTCTGGACCGGACCGTATAGTCTGTGGTCTGGTCTGTGGTCTATACTTCAGCCTAATCTGCAATTGGTTCGCATACTAGCCTTTCCCTTATTTGTTTTTTTGTGTATGATGAATATGTCTATGTTCGCTCGCTCTATGCAACGAAATTACCTCTCGGCAACGTGATGATAGATTCTGAAAGGGTAAATGTTGGCTTTGTGAGTTGTTGCTACCGCCACATTGAGAATTGAGAATGAAGTTCTTTCAAGTCAGAGGATTACATGTGATTCTCCTATGTTGTTCTTTGCATGTACCCCATTCCGTCGAGATTGAAAGGAAACAGACTTTCCCCACTTCTCTGTGCTCTTTGCATGTACCACCTAAATCCTCTAAGCGCTTCGACTTCCAGACCTTTGTTGATTTCTTAGACAGCTCCGTTGTCTTTCAGCTTCGACGGAGCAGGAAAGACATGAGTGGAAAACTAGGCCAACAGTCAGCACTATCGTTTGAATATCAAAATCATCCTCGTCTATGACGTTGACATTGCAGAATCAGTTACCGAATAGAGAGAAGAAGAAACAAACCAATGGAGAGAAAATCATGACAAAGTACTCGACCCATTGTCGACAATAGTTGAGAAGGATCGACGACCGATATGGGAACAAGACTTGGCCCGTGGATTCTTCGGCTCCCCTTCAAACCCAGTTTGATGTGGTCGACGATTAGAGCTAGCACGAGAAAGAATTTGCAAAGTATTGACGGTCGAGATGGGGAGAAGGCTTGGGCCTTTTTTTCTCTGGCTCCCCTCTGAATCCTGCTTTATCTTATAGGATTGGAACTATTCCGGGACAGGGTTGATGACCCAAGTCGCAAACCAGGGTGACAAAATACAAAGAAGATGACTTTCCCTAATCTTCCCCTCACCTTGAATTCGATGGGGTCATGACGATTGGAACCTCCGACATTGGGAGGGGAAGGGATGAAAGGATCATCAGATCACAAATTCAGAAGCGAAGGCCACATGAATCGGCTTATGGAGAAGAGAATGGGATGGCAACTATAGTGTTACACCCCGACCTTTGGGTTCAGGTTCGACCATAATACATGAATGGTTGGATTAACGGTTACGTACTAAGGATTTCAACCGCGGATTAGGAATAATAATAATAATAACTATTATTATTATTATTATTATTATTAAAAAAAAAAAAAAAGGAAAACTGGCCAAGAGGCGCTCGGCCCTCATCAATTCCCTACCCCTTATCAATTTTCCACCAACCCAACAAGGAAAATCCGCCGCCGAAAGCTTCCCGGGGAACTCATCAATTCCCTACCCCTCACAGCCGAGAGAGTAAACTCAGCTTTCCTTCCATAGCGGCAATTTTATTACATCTTGAAGCATCGCTGCATCAGCAACGGAGGATACTAGAGAAACCGTAATTCATTCGTCTTCCGCCACCGCCATGGATCTACCAGGGTCCAGGCCTCCAGGGTATTCCTCAGCTAACGATGAGGAGTCACCCGCAAGGCCCCAACAACTTCTTGGACTAGCTCTACAAGAAGCTTTCCGCGACTACTCCAAGATACAGAGAGGAAGCTCGATTGCTGCGGCGCCATTCCAGTTTCCGATATTATAATTGTGCCACCGAAACGCGAATGCGATCTCCAAGGTTAATCATGGCGGATCGGCCAAACCGGAGCACAGGTTCTTGATGCGGCTGTGAGGAATCTAACCGGAGACTATACGACGAGGCCGGAAACTGCAGAAGGATTCTTGTTTGTTAAAGAACGAGATGAACATTGGAGAGAAATAACACAAGACCGGAAGTGCTCTATATTTCTTCACTGCAAATTTCAGGTCTCCGATCATCTTCGAATGCCAATTTTAAACAACTCGAAGAAAGACTCATCAGTAAATTATTTAGGATCCTGGAGAGAATGGCCAATCGTGGGCAAAAGCGATCAGAAGTGATCGATGAATTGCCAGCAGACAAGAGAGTTTGCCGTTCATTGGATTTTAGACCGAGTACATCGAATTCCTCAGCTCAGACAGTTTCGACAACGATCCCGGCGTAGGCGACTTCCAATTTTCTTTGAGTGGTGGTTATCCTCACAAAGAGGACGATCCCAGGAGCATCACGGTCTTGACAGAATTGAGTTTCGACATCGGACGAGGGAGATACGAGCGTCGAAAGTTTGGGACGCAAATCAGACCGTTCAGGTATCAGTCTTGGCAATTCAAGAAGTTAGAGGATTAAATGTGTAATTTTTTTCCAGAGAGTAGGGGTGAACACTTTCACCCGCAAACCGACCCACCCGTCCAATCCGATCCAACCCACCCGTATTTATCGCTATAATAATTATTTTGGGTTGGGTGAGGGTTTGCTTTTGTACAACCCGCCTCTTTTGGGTTGGGTTTGGATTTTGGATTACACAACCTGTAGAACCCGACCCAACCCGTGTTCCAACTATTTATATGAGTTCGTATCCAAAAAATATTTATGTCGTATATAACCATACTTATGAGAAAATTAAAATATTTCGCCATGTTTTTCTCTCATGGTCTCTTTAATCTAATGCATTCTTCGGTTTAAAGTTAGACGTAGATTTAATATAGCTATGATTCACGTAATCCTTTTATTATGTACAATTTTAATAAAATAACATATTATGGATGCGTTCGTTTATACCATTTCTAGCCTATTTCAACAAATGTCGTGGAAAAAACTAGACATATGTTGAAGTAAATTACATTTTATTAAAATTTAAACAACATTTATGAATTTTAATACCTTTCACCTCGGTTTATTCGTTTGATATTTTAATTAGTTATAAAATATTTTTATGGTGTAGAATAATTACATATTTTGTGTTGGGTTGGGTTTTTACTTAAAAATATTGTCAACCCGACCCAACCCAATTAGAAACAAACCGTAGGGTTTTAATTTTTTTTAGTGGGTTTGGGTTTAATATTTCCCAAACCATAGTGTATGGATCGGGTGATTAAAATGGCTAAACCCGAACCACCCGACCCATGTACACCCCTACCAGAGAGGTCGTGGTCAACTGTGTTGACTCGGAAATTACAGGTTTGGTACCTAGTACTTTTAAACTGACAGAATGCTTATTTTGGTCATAACTCGATCAATTGACGTGCGAACGAGGAATCGTCAGCGCCTATGGAATTGTGATAACGAGGAGAATTGATTGGAGCAAGTATGGAAATTTTAGAGCAGATTCAGAGTTGGTTTCGACAGATATAAGGTGAGTGTAAATGGGGTAAATTCTACGCCTTGCGTATTCTTTTAAGTATTATGATTTTAAGTATTTTAGCGAAGTGGTTATCGTTGCTTGGTTATGTGTATGATTGATTATTTGTGCTTTGCTTGAGTTATGGTTTGAGATTATTTGGTGCTATTTGAGGTGATTTTGTTTGAGCTATGCTTGAAGTGAATGTTTATTAATTACTTTAAAATTTTTATGAGTATAAGTTATTATTAAAGAGTAAGAAACAAGTTCTTTTAAAGAAGTAACTCACCTTAAAGACGGTGAAGTCGTTTTAAGTGTTTTTAGTCACTAGCGCCAGTCCGTTGCCATTTGAGATTTTCAGATAGAGCAGTAGTTATGCTCTTGAGATCTTTGAGACAGAGCAGCAGTTATGCTCTTGAGAATCGTGGTGAAGAGCCACCACGATAAGTTTAAGATGTTAGGGGGATGAATCGTTACGACTTCCCTAACTAAGTTTAAGTTTAAGGAAAGCCTGGATGGCTTCTCATACGTATGAGTTGGCAACTGGACTAGCTAGTGAGGGGACCCCGTGTCAGTCAAAAGTTTAAGTAAGGATTTGAGCTTTAAGAGAGGAGAGTAACTTCAACTCCCTCAAAGATTAAGAGTTAAGATTTTAAGATTGGAAGTACAAAACAACTTCCACCAGTTAAAGTTAAGTGTTTAAGCAAAGTACTCAAGTATAGGAAAGTTTAAAACGTAAGGGCGTAGACTGACCCCATCTCACTCACCAGTTTGACGAGCTAGAGGAGGAGTTAGAGGAGGAGCTAGTGAGCAGCAAGTTCGAGGGCAGCCAGCTAGAGGAGGGCAGTGCAAGCGTCACGGAGGATGCCTAGTTAAGAGTTTCCGTAGCAGCAACGACATAGTCGACCTAGTTATTTACATTTTATGATTATGAGTATAGACTGGAGATCAGTTTGAGATTTTAAAGTTTGAGCTTAATTTGCCCACATGTTAGGGCTTTGCCTTGATCTACAAGTGTGTGTTTTCAGTATTTTATTTATGAAAATTCTTCCCGCTGCAATTTAAGATTTGAGTATTTTATTTATCAAGGGCATTTTAGTAAAAGTAGTACCCGGTCGGGTTAGGGTGTTTCATATAGAATCCTCCAAGGTATGGACATAATCCATCTCCAACCCTACCTCCAACTTGGCTAGCCTCCAGGGTATCAACGAAGGGGTTGAAGGATGGGGAAACAGGTTAAAATGAAACGGGGTAAGTGGGGAAACTAGTCGAAGATGAGAAACATGCAGAAGATGGGTAGCGCGGCAGTGAAAACTCGGGTAGTCGTCAGGAAAACGTCGAAGGGAAAGAAAACGGGGAAGAGGAAAATATGTGTATAGAACTTATGGTTACAGCGGACAACAGGGTACTGGACCCCTTAAACCACTACTCGCGGATTATTAATACTAACTAATAATACTAATAATAACTTGATAAATAGCCCGCGCTTTGCTGCGGGTTGTATGACATATCAATTTTTAGTAATCAAGATGAAGTATAGCTCAATTTGAGGTATATATTCTTAAAAAACTGATATTTTAAATTTTCGGATAAAATAGTAGAAGCAATAATTATAGATAACAATATGATGAAGCTGTTTATCGACTTTATTAAGGGTATAATCAATAAGTTTTTTAAAAGAGAGATAACATGTTAAACATGACATCATGAAATCCGGATCAAAACAAATTAGTGGGAATCCATGTTAATCATCGATACAACAATGAAAGGGGCCAAGGGAGTGGGCTGAGGCTGATATGTGAATTGAGTATACTTTTTTTTGGGTTTTCGGTTCTGAATTCGGAAATTAGGTTTCGTCGAGCCCTAGTTTTGAATGTAAATTTTTTTTCTTTCAAATTCCGATCCGATTAGGATGTTATTCGGGTTTGGTTGGTTTGAATTTCGATTCAGATTAGTGAACCTATATTTTCCGTCAATCCCTAGTAGGGGGATTGGATTCGGAGAAAGAGATGGTCGCCATAGTTTTCCTCTCTCGTACTCTTTCTCTCTCTTTCCCTGCGGACTTCGAAAGGGTCAACGGGAGAAAGACGGGTTGGGCTACAACCCATAGGTACATTTCGTTTTGATAACTTTTCAATTTAAATGAGTAGACCACAATTAATGAAGGGGAAGGGGCGGAGGGGCACGCTTGGTATTATGAAAAATTGGGGGAAGGGGAAAGGGAGAGTCACGTGTGCAAATAAATGGGAAGGGAAAATCCACCCCACAAAATCCTCCCACAAACCACATAATTCAGGCCCCAAATTGGAAGTTTCTTTAACAGTGGATCTGTTTATAAAATTTTAAAAGTTAAGGTATTAAAATGTAAGAGAAATTTTTGTATGTACTATAACATAATATTTCATCAATATTTTGAGAACTTACATGTAAAAAAAATTAATTTTAGATACTAAATATTAAGACGTATTGAGTTTGAGAACCAAAACTGTAATTTGTATATATAATCTTATTACAACAACGTAGAGAAATAGGGGAAGGGGAAGAGGGAATTACTATATTACCCTTAATGAAATACTATGGTTCTAACACTTAAGAGTGTGTAGCACCCAATTCCAGAGTTTTTTTTATTTTCAATAATTTTTAAATTACTTTATTAAGTAACATAAAAAAGTAATTAAAAATTGGAGTAAAAATGGCACGTCAGATGCTACATCAATGTTGACTAGACTTTTTGTTGAATACTAAGGGTCAACACTAAATTATTGTAGAAAGCAAAGGGTAACCCCCCGAGGTTTTGTCCCTTATACACAATCTGATTTCATTTCATATTACATCTTCTGAAAAGGGTCTCTCGAGCATAGCAGCGTTCGAAGTAATAACTAGTTGTCGTCTATACTCGGTTGAAAAGGTCTGCTTAGCTAAACTTCAATTTTTAGATTGGTGAAAATGCCCTACGAAGGCCTCTTTGATTGCCTCTTTATACCTTCCACGTTCTCTCCTTTAACTTTGACGTTCGAAGTAATAACTAATTATTCATATTGATTAATTCAGGTGATATTTATGCGGTATCTTATCTGAATAATTTTGTGAATGATTTGATTTCAAATAAATCATTAGTTTCTTACCGCGAGGGAACGCGAACCAAAAAATCAGCACATGTATTCGGTTTCAAATTTAACTAAAAAACGACCTACTCTTGAGTCTTGAAATCGTATGACTAAAAACGACTTAGTAATAATAGATGAGGGAGAAGGAGTTCTCACGGAATCTCAGAGGAAGTACGTCCAGCACGATTAGCCACCGCTTTCAGAGCATCCCTCCATCTCTTGTTGTCCTCTGAGCTGGCTTTAAGCTCGCCGTCGATGAGAGCAGAGTAACGGCCAGAGTCCTCTACTACGTCAGGCCAGCAAACCTTGTAGAAAATCGGCAGCGCTCGGTGCCCGAATTTCTCCATGCTTTGGGCAATCGTGGCCACCTCGTCCAAGCACCATGACGAATCCGCAAATCTTTCGGAGAAGATCACGACTGAAAGCGGGGATCTCCGGAGGACGCAGAGGAGCTCGTCGATGGACTCTGTTTTCGGGAGCATGGTGTCGTAGAAGACGTTGATTTTCTTGTCGGAGAGAGCAGCCATGAGGTGGCTGGTAAACCAATCGCGGGTGTCGTCGCCTCTGAAGCACAAGAAGGCGTCGTATATATATATAGAGAGAGATATTTTGCTAATTGGAGGAACTTTTCGGCGACTAGCGACGGTGGAGAAGGATTTTCCGGCGATAGTGTTGGATTTGTCATGTTTGTGACCTATTTTGTAATGTTTGCATAGATTTGGTTTGTAATGTTTATCATTCTTGTTTGTCATTTTTTTTTTTACATTTTGTAAGATTAGTATGTTTTGTACTGTTTGTCGGTTTATTTTGTAACGCTTGTAAGCTTTATTATTTTGTAACGTTTGTCGGTTTCTTTTGTAATGTTTGTAAGTGTTGTTATTTTTGTGCATATCATTTTTGTCAACCATGTTTGTAATGTTTTTTATGTCTAAAAAACAACCTGGTTGACTTTTGGATGAAACTCCTCTATATAGGGATGAAGCCTCCAAAGTCAACCAGAGTGTTTTTCCAGGTTGTATGTTTTGTCGGTCTAGTTTGTCATTTTTGTCCACCATGTTCATTTGTATGTCTAAAAAACAACCGGGTTGATTTTGGGAGGGAGCCCCTCTATATAAGGATGGAGCCTCCAAAGTCAACCCGATTGTTTTTTCTTTTGTATGATTTGTATTGTTTGTCGGTGTAGTTTGTATTGTTTGTACCGTATATATATTTGTAACGTTTGTAAATCTGTTTGTATGTTTTGTCGTTCTATTTTGTAAATCGGAGTTTGAGCCCTCAAAATCACCTTGAATGGGAAGAATGGCTCACCAGGGTGATGACAATCTACAAGACCTGCTGCAGCAACAAGGTTAGAAGGCAGGGCAGGGGGGACAACTTGTGTAAAAGGTCCATTCTATTCTATCTCTCTCCACTCCACCTCTCAAATTAAACAAAAGAGGCACTTGCCACCCGTCAAGTCTAGACTGAAACTTTGTGAGAACACTAGGTAAATTCTGCTGCCAACCACATCCAAAGATGTTTGACAAAGAAGCTTGGATCATCAACGTTCCCTACAGGAAACATTGTGCTCTTGTCCACATTAAATCTTAGGACTGTAACTGTTTGGAAGCAAATGCAGAATGGCAAGCTATTGATAGTGCTAGAGATGCAAGGCCAGTGGACCGGACATAGATTCGGTTCTTGGAAGGACGGTTACGTTGTTGTTCGCTCAATATGAGCAAAATTTAACATTAATTAGTGAAAGTATAGAGATTCAGCCAAACGGAAAGGATACCTTGCCATCTGTTTCTTTTCTGTTCATCAATCAAACTGAGTACAGTAGAGAGAGACCGCATCTTTCTATTTTCTGTTCATCAGCCAAACTGTGTTGCTTGGTAGAGCTTGTAAGGACTTGCAGCCACCGACATCCAACTCAAAGAGACTTGATGGAAGCTCCGGCAAAGATAGAATACTTCCACATCCTTTCAAGATCAAGCTAACTAACTTTGGTAGTTTATGGATATTGATCGGGATACTCTGAAGGCTTTTGCAGTTGTTCAGATATATCCACTCAAGGAGGCCCAATTCCTGGATAGAGGAAGGCAACGACTCAATGCCGGTGTTTCCCAGATCGAGTTCTTGTAGAGATACTAAATTGTTGATGCTAGATGGGAGGCTTTTGAGACTTCCACAGTTGGATATCCGAATACGGGATAAACCTTTCACAGGCTCTGAGATATCTGGCAAACTCTCAAGAAGTGGGCTGCCCCGAATATGGAGTTTAGACATGACCATGTCCCACAAATTATTTGGCAGGCTCTTGAGTTGGGAGTTATCACCCAATTTTAGCGAACCAAATTTCGGCAGTACCTCAGAAGAAGTCATCTCTTTCATTGCATTATGCGACAAGTGAAACTCCCTCAAGCTAGTAGAAATTGCAGGGAAGTCGGTGATGTTTTCACCAAAGAGACGTAGGCTGCCACCTTCCTTGACATTGTAAACTGCACTAGGTAACTCCCTGACAGGTGTCGCATCTAAATTCAATTCCATCAACTCTTCTGAATTAATATCCGGACAGTGCTTCACCTTTGGATAGTTGTTTATCCGAACATGCTTGAGGACCTTTGAGTTGAGTTTTGATGGAAGACTCTTGAGGTTCACACAGTTTGAAAGATCAAGTGTTATCAGCCTGTCCAGATATTGTACATGAGAGGGTACTTCAACTAGGCGTTTGCATCCCGGAAGATGGAGTTCCTCGAGTTTTAAAGAGCACGAGAGATCTGGGATAGCAGTAAGATTTGGACAATTTGAGAGATCGAGCACCGCCGGATTCACCAGCTTTGGCTGCAAAAATAAAGATAAGTTAATTAATCCATTATTATTGCAATATTAAAGAAGAGTTGATTAATTCCCAACTCAAACACATTAATCATCGATACATATATCCATTTATTCCCAACTCTAACACAAAAATTTACTTTTTTCATTGAAGAAGTTACTAACTTGGTCAAATCCTTCCCAACATTTTTTAATTGGACTTCCCCGTATAATAAGATGGAAGAGATGTTGGGGATAAAATTTGGCAGGCAATGATTTGGAAGGATATCCATCCCAATGCAGCCATCTCAACCCGTCAGGAAGAGAATCAAGTCCACCATATGGCAATTGGATTTTCTTACTCTCAATTCCATAGTGAAAAGTATGAAATTTGAGAAACGTAAGAGAATCCATCCCTTCAAAGGCGTTTGCTTCCAGATGCATAACTTTTGCCCTATAGAGATTCAAACTTATGCCTTCAATTGTTCTCAGTTCCTCCAACGCACAATTGCCTTTCCCGAAGCATGTTCGTTACTTTTCTTCTTTTCCTTCTTGATGGAACCACCATCTTTATGCCTTTCAAGAAGGGTGCCTTAAAAAATGGTGTCCGACTCTCCACCTCTGCAGTTGCCAATAATTTGTGAATATCATTTGGATCTATCAACCTAGTATGCTTGCCAATGCTCATCGCCATTTCCTTGAGCAGATCATGCACCTCAATCTTCTCTCCATTCTCGCTAGAGATGCAAAGCAAGAGGGACATATCGATTAGGTCCTTCACTTTAGTATGAGCAGATGAATACAAGGTTTCCATATATCCAATCAATCTGGATCTTGATATTCCATGAAGGAAATAAGCAACCTCCAAGAATAGTCGCTTCTCATCAGCTCCGATTTTATCGTAGCTTCTCCTAAGAACATCACCAATTTCCGGATTTTGAATCAAACTAAATCCGCCCAGGAAACTCTCCCAATAGTCTTTGTCCTCACGAAACAACACACCCCCCAAAACTCTGAGCGCCAAAGGGTTACCGTGGCAGTACAATGTAGCCCGACGTGACAGATCGATCCAATTATATGGGGGGCAATGGTTTCTGAATGCACTCAAGCTGAATAGTTCAATAGATTCGCCGAGATTCAAACAAGCAACATTGTATATCTTTGCCATTGCATTATGGAGCACTTTCTTATTTCTAGTTGTCATGATGATTATGCTCCCAGGAGCAAAGATTTTGGTGAGATTGAAGACATCACCTAAAAGCAATTGCTCTAGTTGGTGAAGAGTATCCACATCGTCAAGAACAATTAACACCTTCGAGCGAGAAAGGCGTGCTCTTTGATAATACATATCTAAATCTTCATGACTTAGATTACGCTCGGACAATACTTTTGAATAGAGCTCATGCACCATTCCATCAATCCCGTTCTGGTTTTCGCAAATTTGGTTGATGTTCCGGATAAAATGATGCTTGACGTCTTTTGTTGATGAAGCTATCGTTTCATAGCAAGCCTTGGCCAGAGTTGTTTTCCCTACACCACCCATTCCCCACAGCCCAATGATGTGAATACCATCTGGTTCATCCATGGCTAACAATCGCTGAACATCCAAAATGCGTGAACCCATACCAACCAAGTTTTCAGACTTGATGCTAGGTGACATGTCTAGTAGTTGCTTCTGAATATCTTCCACAATCTCCTTAATCAGTTCAGATTCAATCCTAGGAGTCAATGAGACAAGACACAGATGAAATAAAGGCCAAGTGAAAAAAATAGCAGTTATGACAAGAAGAGCACAATATGAAACTTCAAGACTGAAGTATCATTAGGTTGTTGAGTTAGTGTACTGATAAACTACCACCTATATAGAATATCCATTAATACGTAAACTAAATAAGGAATGTTAATCATTTCAGGTAGAATAAGAATCTTAGTAATAGATGAGGGAGAAGGATTTCTCACGGAATCGCAGAGGAGGTATGTCCAGCACAATCAGCCACAGCTTTCAGAGCATCCCTCCATCTCTTGCTGTCCTCTGAGCTCGCTTTAAGCTCGTCATCAATGATAGCAGAGTAACAGCCAGAGTCCTCTGCCACGTCAGACCAACCAACCTTGTAGAACACCGGCAGCAGGGGCGGAGCTACACAGTCCCTTGGGGGGGCTCCGGCCCCCCCGAGAATTTCAAAAATCACGTATGAATACTCGGGAATTCTGAAGTTTATGAATTAACTGGACTGTAGTTAATTAATTAAAGCGTGTTCTAATATGATAAACAAAATCCAAGTTGCTCTAGCGGAGCATTGGTTATCTTGTTAGCTGGGTGACTAGTGTTCGATCCCCATCAATGTTAATTTTTCATGTTTTTCTCCAAAACAATTGATGCCTACTTTCATTAATTGATCCCATTAATGTCCACTTTTATTCTTTTAACCCATTTCCCTTAACAATTGATGCCCACTTACTCTAATTACTTTCATTAATTGATCCTATTAATGTTCACTTTTATTCTTTTAACCCTTCCCACCTAATCTAATTATTTCAAAAAATGTTTTGTACAATCCCCGGGTAACTAGGTCTCTATGAAATTTGTGAAGTTTCATAATTAATATGATATTATTTTATGTAATTATGTTTTTTTTTTGTCTGTTTACGATTAATAGAGTAACATAAATTTCGGCCCCCCCGAACCTGAAATCCTGGCTCCGCCCCTGACCGGCAGCACTCGGTGCCTGAATTTTTCAATGCTTTGGACAATCGTGGCCACTCGTCCAAGCACCACGAAGAATCCGCGAACTTCTCGGAGATAATCACGATCCAGGCGTAGGCCCCGTAAACGTTACAGTGTTTTTTCTGCCGGGCCCTGTATAATATCTTAACTCAAAAAGATTCCTATTGTTGCTAAATAGTTTGTTGTGTCGAAAAATAGCTGGTAAAATCCAGTGGCGGACCTAAGGCATTGCAGGGTGTGTCGTCCGACACACCCTCGCTCGAGAATTTTACGAAGGACCTACATATTTTTGGTACAAATATTTTTACTTCGGGATAGCCGACACACCCTCAATAATTATAGCCGACACACCTTCATTATACTCAAAGAAATTTTATCCAAATGAATCAATCTTAATCATAATCCTTTTTAATTTTGTTTAAAATAACTCATAAAGCATAATCCTATCCTTCCTATTAAAAAAAATACTCTTAGCCCATACAATATACACGTGTGATGAGTGTTGGGCCTGAGCCTTTAATTAAATGAGAAAAGAACCCACAGGCCAAAAGCCCAGTCGGCCACTAGCCCACTACCTCCCCATTATTATTCCTTCCCTCCCCATCCCCAATTAATGGCCCAATCTCCCCAATTAATGGCCCAATGCCATATTCCTTGTCCATATCTCAATTCCCAGCAACCCATCCCCATTATTCCCCCTGGTTCCCTCTTCTCTCGCTCGCAAAAAACCCCAGAACCCCAGACGAACAAAAAACCCAGACAAAGGCAGAACGGGCAAGTCGGCACGGCAACCCATCTCGGCCTCGGCGGACACCCTTCACCGGCGGGCAGCGCGGCGGCGGCAACTCCTCGTAGCCGGTCAAGTGGGCACTTCTTGTAGCTGGCCAAATGTAAGTAATTTTACTGTTATGAACCCTAAATTGCAAAGTTTAGGGGTTTTTCTTATTTTCCATTTAACCCAAATTTTATTTGTCAATTTGTAATTCATGGATGAATTGAATAGATTTCTTTATAAGCTAATTTATGTTGTACTCTGTATCCAGACATGGAGAGATTTTACCCAAAGGTCCCAAAGAAAGCAAAAACTACTCTACATATTAACAATTTAGGAGGTGAATCAAGTAAAATGAATCATGATGATTCTCAATCTTCCTCGCCATCGATTAATCAAACAAGTGGCATCTCAAGTAAGTTTTCTTCATTTCCTGAAGAACATGAGAATGATGATGTTGATGAGCATTTTCAGCTATGAAGATAATCAAGAACGATCTTCGAAATCGGTTGAGTGACCAATTTATGAATGATTGTTTAGTTGTGTATATTGAAAAGATTTGCTTTGCAGCATAAGTGATGAATGTATTTTAGAGACATTTCAGCAGATGAAAAGTCGTCGCGGTTCGTTGTAAACATGACATTGTGAACTTTATGAATTAATTTCTTTTAATTTTAACTTAATTTTTAATTTAATTTAATTTTTATTTTATTTTATCAGCGACACACCTCTCCGACAATCCTGGGTCCGCCACTGGTAAAATCTCTTTACTATATAAATAACTTGAATCGGATCTTTGGAGGACGGAAAGGAGCTCGCCGATGGACTCTGTCTTCCGGAGCATAGTGTTGATGAAGGCTTTGATTTTCTTGTCGGAGAGAGCAGCCATGAGGTGGCTTGTAAAGCCATGGCGGGAGTCACGGCCTCTGAAGCACAAGAAAACGTCATATTCCCATTCTCCAGTATACATGGCACCATGAGAAGAAACATCCATTAAAGCTGATGAAGAGGAGGAAGCCATTATAATGGGGTGGGGATCTTGATCTGTTTTTCTTTCTGATCAACTAGGCAAAGGGACAATCTCATAATCACAATTCACAACTAATAGCATGTTTCCATTTCCAGTTAACCTATTAAAGGGATGTGGAGAGTTTAATGTATTATACAAAATGCTTCGAAATTTCTTGTTATCACAATTTTTTGGCGTCATTAAATAGCATCCAACCATATTACCAAAAAAGTCTTCTGTTTCTTCCTTGATGGTTTCAATAGTGGTCCATACCAATACCATGCCATAAGGAAAGAGGAAAGAAATTGCCAAGATTATGATGGGAGGTGGGGGGCACTTCATAATCATACATGTTCTCTTGGTTCAGGGAATGATAGGAAGGAGAAGGAAATTTCTGTGTATACGATTTGAGATCTATCACCTGTATATCTCTAAATCTTTGGACTTTGACGAACGATTTATCCTATCGTGTTACCGACGACAGAGAAGCATTCTCATAAAAGAGAGCTAAACTTATTAATCATGTTGAAGTGCTGTTATCTGTAATAATAGTATTCATTCATGTACCTGAGGATGCAGAGACGTCAAAGTGTAGTAGCTACTTCCAATTCCGCTTGCCTGCCTTGCTTGGTATTGCTCGCAAGCTTGAACCTTCTTCAACCAATGCCATTCTCACAAATCAATCTTTCACCATTCCGCCTGAACTACAGATTGACAATCTGCAAATTCTGAATGCCTCATTCTACAATCACCATACGATAAACGAAGAAGCGTCGTTCAATCAATTCGGTGAACATTGCAGGAAAAAAAAAAAAAAAAAAAAAAAAACTGAAACGAAAAATCACAATCCAACAGAACAATCACCTGAGCCGCCGGCAACGAAATTGGAACTCCGTAACCTCCCAATCCGGACCAGAAACTCTCCCGGCGGGAGTCGTCGAGATTCTGCCTCGACCGCAGGGCGTGAAACTGGAAATCACTCATCTATGCTTCAAGTTCGGTTCAGGTTACTATTTTTAGTTTCATTAACGACACTAAATTTCTATGACTTATAGTCTACCTTTGTTGATTGACTTTTGGTTTGATATGGTACAAACACTGATACGAGGAGTCGTTGGTTCGCAAAATTTGAAATTGAAGGGTTGTGTTAAATTTTGAGATTTATTCATCAAATTTTTTTTTTTTTAAATTTGGAAAATAAAGGATTGGGAATTGATTTAGTTCATTTGGAATTTGAGAAAATTATTATTTGCATTTCAAATTTTATGAATGATTGGTTCATTTAGTATCAAGGATTTTTTTTTTCGTTCTCTCAAATATCATAAAAAAAGAAAATTATGTGGAATTTTTGAATCCGTGAGTCTACCGATCTCGTAAAAAAAATCTAAATTTGTGTAACCAACATTTTTATATAACCAAACATTGGATTTGGACAATTCCGTTTATAGTTGGATTTGGGGTTCAAATATGAAACTATTCCACTATTATTATTTTATTGTCACCATATAAACAATGATCACAAACATTGAGCGTTTTGATATTAAAACTCTGGAAAAGGGACAAACAACTCTGGTATAGATTGTTTATATTGGTAGTTTTCGTGTAATGATATAGATTTATTTCTGCAATGGTATTGATTGTTTATGGTATAGATTGTTTATATTGGTAGTTTTCGTGTAATGGTATAGATTTATTTCTACAATGGTATTGATTGTTTATGGTATAGATTGTTTATATTGGTAGTTTTCGTGTAATGGTATAGATTTATTTCTGCAATGGTAGTTTTCGTGCAATGGTATAGATTTATTTCTGCAATGGTATTGATGTTTTTCAAAGTGGTAGTGTTAGTGTAATGGATTGGTACTGATTTCGTTTTTTTTTTTTTCAGAAAGATTGAGAAAAATATGGAAAGAAAATCTGGCTGGAGATTACGGAAATGAGAGAAAGAGAGAATTTTAATTAATAGTTGTTTGTAACTACCTAAAATGTAATTTATTACAAAATTAATTAATATAATTTATTTTTCCATACCCAATTTATCCTTAGTAACCACGGTGATTACCTTAACCTGTCCCACCTTCTCAGTGCACTAAGATTCTTCTTCCGATTTACACCCAACGTATCTAAACGACACAACAACTCAGCAAGTTTCTGTACAAATTCAATGGCAACTCCACAAACGTATAACATGGTCCAGCTTAACAAGAAAATGAAAGTTTAATGGATAATACGGGTACTCAAACTATCTAAACGGGCACTAGTGGATATCTCACGGATACCCGATATTCTTAAGTCCAACGATGCGAGTATCATCTACTTCGTCCATGGCTAACAATTGCTCAACTTCGCGAACGCGTGATCCCATACCTACCAAGTTTTCCGACTTGATGCTTGATGACATGTCTATTAGTAGCTTCTGAACAACATCCAAAAACAGTCGCTTCTCATCAGCTCCCAATTTATTGTAGCTTCTCCTGAGAATATCGCCGATATTCGGGTTTAGAACCAGTCTCAACCCACTCAAAACACTCTCCCAATAATCTTTATCCTCTCCGAACAATGTACCGCCCAAAACTCTGAGCGCCAAGGGATTTCCATTGCAGTACGATGTAGCACGACGTGACAAATCCATCCAACTGTCTGGAGGAATATGCTTTCTAAATGCACGCAAGCTAAACAATTGAACGGATTCGTCATTACGTAATGAGGGAAGAGGCGAAGGAGATGAAGAAGCACTGTGGGATGTGGAATGTGTTGGCCGCGGTGCTTCATTCAGGTTCTACCCTCATTTACTAAATGGAGGAGATGTCAGGCGACTGAAGAATTTCAAAATCAAAAGATGCGGAATCTCTCTACTGTTCTAATTAAGCACTGAAAGTCTGATTGATGAAACAGAGAGAACAGATGGTAAGCTACGTATATATTTGGGTCCTTTGGCTGAACATAGAGGTGGTAAGGAACTTATATATATAGGGATTTCCTATGGTAACTTGAAGTAAGGTAACTTGAGTTTTCTTACCTGCTATAGCAGGTTTCACAGGTCGCATTACGTAAAATATAACAGGCATTATGTAATGGTTACGTAACCTATGGTAGTCTTACGTAACAGTTGTAAAAGATCATTACGGAAGCCTTACGTAATAGAATGTCTTTACGTAATGAGTATTAACTTCGTGTTACGTAAAACGCTAAGTCATTACGAAAGCCTTACGTAACGCTACTAATTTAACTGTTACGTAAGAAATAATTGTCGTTCTGTAACCTTTACGTAATGGAATATCTTTTTACGTAATGAGTATTAACCTCGCGTTACGTAAAGTGCAAAGTCATTACGGAAGTCTTACGTAACGCTTCCGATTTAATTGTTACGTAAGAAATAACTATCGTTCCTTAACCTTTACGTAATGAATGTGTATTTTAAGTAACAGTTGTAAAATGTCATTACGGAAGCCTTACATAATGGAAGGTATTTTTACGTAATGAGTATTAACGTCGTGTTACGTAAAGAGCTAAGTTATTACGGAAGGCTTACGTAACGCTTCTATTTCAATAAGAATTAAAATAAGGAAACAATAAAATAAGGAAAATCGACTAAATATGAAAAAGGAAAGAGAATATATAAGAAAGGTAAATTGTGAAGGTGGTGACCTATTGCTATTAATATTTTTTTACTTATTTTTTATTTTTTATTTCTATAATTAATGATTTAAATTAGTTTGATCGATTTTAATGATTTAGATCTATACAAGTTACCTAACTTGAAATTATACCCAAGTTACTGTAGGAGGTCCCATATATACATGAGTTGTTAGTCTTTTAACCTCTTCTGGACTGCTAGACGTGGGAGAAAGTACAGATGAGAGTATATTGAAGTAAAAAGTAGGAAAGGACCTCGCATTTCAGGGTGTGTTCGAACCTTAAGAGAAGCTTTTCGGGGGATGAGATAAACTCCGACTACAATCGAGGAACTGCAAAATAGAGTAGGACTTCTTGAAGAAGCATATAGGATCTCAAGTGATTGAAAAATGGGTCGAAAGACCAACTAAAACAAGAACAGATGTAACATAGTAGGGAAAGGAAGAAGGATACAAATTGAAACGTTGAAAACAAATATACACAAACTAGCTTTAACCCTGCCCTTTGGGCAGGTATTCTTTTTATATATATATTTTGTAGTATCGCTCATAAACTTTTGGCAACATGTAAAATAGGCATTTCTAAAAAATATATTAAATAATTTTTTGTTATTGATTGTGGTGATTCTTACTTCTTAGTTATGGACGTAGAGTTCACATCGTCAAGTTTATAATAACTTTTGAGTAGTAGTAAGTTTTTGTACAGGCTCATATTGAGCCTTTATGATTCAATACTAAAAATTTAGTTAATCAATAACATTTTGCTTTTAGTGCCTCTATTTTTGTATAAAAAATTTCATTATCTGTTGAATTGTCTTATATACTCATCTTTTTACCATACACCTTAATGGCAAGGGAAAAAAACTCAAAACATCCTTTGGTACTTTTATCGATAAAATGTTTTAATCTTTCACTTGATCACTCATCTTAATAACTTTTCTTCAATGATCATATCATAATTTTACCAAAGCCCGAAAAAATGATGAAAAATATATAAGAATATCTATTAAATATCCTCAATATAGGAAAATGCATTTGGAATAAATTAGATTTGCCTCAAATCTCTACTCAAAACAATTCGTCCGAACATAAGAATACAACACCTTCGAAGCATCACTTCAATGAAAAGCAAAAGGCTAATCTCATTAAAGCTGCTGCTTGTCAAGATAGCAATAAAATATTAATTTCTCCCATGCTTAGCATTAAGGAAAAGGAAAAGAACTCAGATCAAGAGATTAAGGGGGAATATATAAAGAAAGCGTCAAAGACAAACTGCTAGCGGCAACAACGAACCTTAACTGGGTAGTGAAGAAGCAACGGGTACAATAATCATCATGCCAGAAAACAGTGTTCAGGCCAACGATTATTGAGCAACCAAGAAATAAGAGAGGAAAACAAATAAATGATGCACATGGAAGTACTGTATTTGAAGTGCGCTAACAAAGGCAGCAGTGAAATCGACGTTGCAGATGAGTTGTAATAAGGCTAAATGTACCTGAATCAGATGGTGTTCCACTGTTAGGCGTGCACATATATATGAGGAGCTAATACCAACAATACGGGTCCGACACAGTGTAAGAAAGAAGAATGAACAAAGATGAACTTTATGACTGTCAGACGTCAGGCCTAGAAACCCCAATGACGGAATCTGGGTAAGCAAAATCAATCGAATAGAACATAACTGAAGTTGGATTCGGAGGTACATTTGTCAGGTCTGAATTGCGGCCTCTGACTAAAGGAGAATTCGCCACAGAATTGGGTGGCGAAATTGACGGAATTGGACTGGCACGGGCTCCACGTAGTAGAGGAGTCAGATCATCGGTGGCAGGATTTGTACCAGTGGCCACGAATTGACGGAGTTCATGAGGGGACCCGATCGTGCCGGCAACTGAGTGCTCGTGTGAGAAAAATCAGCGCCAGAAGGAGGATATGGAGAATAACGGTTATTATAAAGTCTTTGTCGTTGTGGGGAAGAGGAGAAGGAACCACCGTTGTGGTGGATTATTAGGTTTTGAATCGGTATCCACAAAAGAAGAAGGGTTGCTGACGTGGATAGCTTTGGCTTTCAGTATGGATTACGTGGCATAGGGCCAAATCTTAAAGTCCTTTAATATTTTTATTTATTATTATTATATTATTTATTTATTATTTATAGATTCGAAGTAAGGGATCCTAACTAAAACCAGGTTCAGTGCAGACTACTTCGTCCGAAAACGGATAGCAATCAAAGGATGATAAGCATTTTAAGCTTGGTTGCACCTCTAAACATCCATGGTAAAAAAAAAGGCTCAAAATCATTCTGAAATCCAAATCTGTCCTTGGTGATACAGTTTCATCTTAGTGATTCGGCCTCTTTCAAACTCAACATGAAAGAGGTTACTGAATTCGATATACACGAATATGCAGGAAAAAAGAAGCAGAAAACAAACCACCAAGCATAGAGGAAAATGATGCTCCAAAGAAAAGACATGGAGTAGGACAGAGCACAGAGAAGTCAGAGGAGGCTTCGCCATATGGATAGTATATTGGACTTGCTTACCAATGACGGTTTGGGTCAAAGAAGGAACCTCCCAATTCGTCATAGCAGTTGGTTCCTTTGCCTTCCGTTTCTCTTTCTCTGAAAATCAAATTGTCTAAACTGAGTACAGTAGAGAGAAACCACATCTTTTGATTTTCAACTTCTTCCATTGCTTGGCATTTGTTGGATCACAAGGGTAGAAACAGAAGGAAACGGTGTGGCCAGCATATTTCACAAACAATGCTTCTTCTCCTTCTCCAAGTCCGCGTACTGTCTGACCTGATGTGAACCACAGCAGCACATTGTCTGATGACTTCGTGACATCCCGAGGAACATAAAATCTCCAGGAGGCAACAGTTGTGGTGCCGATGTTGCAAACGCATTTCATAGCCGGCCATGGATTAATAGAAGATGAACACACCACACCAAATGCAATTCCTTTGACTGGTTGCTTACCAATACTAGTGCAATTAATAGGAGACAGTTGCACCATCAAACATGAACTATCCTTATCCTTCACACTTTTGTAGGTAAACCATTCCGGAATCTCGCTCCCTGAATATCGAAACTCGTACCTCTATTGACCAAACACAGAGAGGTGGCATTATCAAGAAAGAAAGAAAAAAAAACATTTGACAATATAATATATATGTCTGATAAAAGTACAAGCACCAACTTGATATTTTTATGTACCTGATAAAGATCAAATGACGGTGCATATATCGGGTAATTTGCCAGGATCCCATGAGGAACTGTCTAATTTAGGGCAATTGTAAAACACCAGGCGACTCCAACTCAGTTCAGTGGCGTTGCTTGGTAGAGCTTGTAAGGACTTGCAACCACTGACATCCAAATCGACGAGACTTGATGGAAGCTCCGGCAAAGATAGAATCATCCCACATCCCTTCAAGCACAGCTTGTATAGCCTAGATAGCTTATGGAAACTGCTCGGGATAAACTCGAGACTTTTGCAGTTGCTCAAAGTTATTGACCGGAGTTGGCCTTGGCCCAGCTCCTGGATACTGGAAGGTAAAGACCTAATGCCGACCTTTGTCAAATAGAGATCCTGTAGAGATACTAAATTGTTGATGTTAGATGGGAGGCTACTGATATTTGTACAGTCAGTTATCCGAAGTAGGAAAAAACGAGTCACAGACTCTGAGATCTCTGGCAAACTCTCAAGAAGTGGGCTGCCCTTAATATCGAGAGAAGAGACCATGTTCCATATATGCTTTGGCAGGCTCCTGAGTTGCAAGTTACCAAACAACTCCAGCGAACCAAACTTCGGCAAAAACACAGGAGAGGCCATATCATAAGAATTCATCTCTTTCACTGCAGTATCCGACAACCTATACGCTTGCAAGCCTGCTGAAATTCTTGGGAAGTCGATGATGTTTTTACCAAAGAGACGTAGGATGCCACCTTTCTTGACACAGCAAATTGCACTTGGTAACTCTCTGACAGGAGTCTCATCTAGATTCAATCCTATCAACTCTCCTGAATCAATCTCCGGACAATGCTTGACCTTTGGACAAAAGCATATGTAAACATGCTTGAGGAGCTTTGAGTTGAGTTTTGATGGAAGACGCTCCAAGTTCACACAACGTACAAGGTTAAGTGTTATCAGATTGTCCAGATATTGTACATAAGAGGGCACTTCAACTAGACTTTTGCATCCCGAAAGTAGGAGGTCCTCAAGTTTTAAAGAGGACGAGAGATCTGGGATTGCGGTAAGATTGGCGCAAAAGGAAAGATCGAGCACCATCAGATTCACTAGTTTCGGCTGCCAAAATAATATATAAAAAAATTAATTACCCCATTACTTGAAACTATAAGATAAATAATAAATGCAAGGATGTGGAGCTTTCAAAAATAGAGGTCTAAAATGTAATATAAAAAGGGGGAAAATGACAATCGCAAAAAAAATAAAAAAAACAATCAAAATGACTAAAAATGACTTACTTGGTTAAATCCTTCCCAGCATTTTTCTACTGGACTCTCTCTTATAATAAGATGGACGAGATTTTGGGGATAAAATCCGAAAGGTAGTGATTTTGAAGGATATCCTCTCCACTCCAGCCATCTCAACCCATCAGGAAGTGACTCGAGCCCACCAAATGGCAAATGAATTTTCTTCTCCATTCTGCTATGATCATCCCACCACCAAAATTTGAGAAATGTAAGAGAATGCATCCCTTCAAAAGCATTAGCTTCCAAGTGCATCTCTTCTACTGATTCAAGATGTAAACTGATGCCTTCAATAGTTCCAAGTCCCTCAAACGCACAGTTGCCTTTTCGATGCGAGTCGGTGACTTTTCTTCTTTTCCTTCTTGGTAGAACCATCATCTCTATGGCTTTGAAGGGACATGTGAAAAAATTTGCCCAACTTCTTACCTCAGTATTCGCCAGCAATTGGTGAATATCATCAGGATTTACCAACCTTGTGTGTTTGCCAATGCTCATGGCCATTTCCTTTAGAAAAGCGTGCACCTCGATCTTCTCTCCATCCATGCTAGGCACACAGGTGAAGAGAGACTTATCAATTAGGTCCTTCACTTTAGCACGAGCGGACAAATACAAGGTTTCCATATATCCAATCAGTCTAGATCTAGACATTCCATGTAGAAAATAAGCAACATCCAAGAAGAGTCGCTGCTCATCTGCTCCCATTTTATCGTAGCTTCTCTTAAGAACATCGTGGATTTCCAGGTGTTGAATCATACTCAATCCACCTAAGAAACTTTCCCAGTAGTCTATGTCCTCGCCAAACAATGAGCGCCCCAAAAATCTAAGGACCAACTGGTTGCCCTTACAGTACGATGTTGCACGACGCGACATGTCCATCCAATTAACAGGAGGGCAATTCTTTCCAAATGCACACAAGCTGAACAGTTGGATAGATTCATCGTCATTCAAGCACTTCATATCATACACCTTTGCCATTGCATTTTGGAGAACTTTTTTGTTTCTTGTTGTCACGATGATTCTGCTCCCGGCGGCAAAGAGTTTGGTCAGGTTGAAGACGTCGCATAAAATCAATTGCTCTAACTGGCAAAGAGTATCCACGTCGTCAAGAACAATGAACACCTTCAAGCGAGAAAGACGTACTCTCCGATAATTCACATCTAAATCTTCACGACTTAGATTAATCTCGGACAATAATTTTGAATAGAGTTCGCACACTAATCCTTCTGCTCCATGCTGCCTTTCCCAAGTTTCGTTGATGTTCCGAATGAAATGATGCTTGATGTCTTTTGTGGAAGAAACCACCCTATCGTAGCAAGCATTGGCGAGAGTTGTTTTCCCCAAACCACCCATTCCCCATAGGCCAATGATGCGAGTATCACCTAGTTCGTCCATGGCTAACAGTCGCTCAACCTCCAAAACGCGTGAACCCATACCAACCATGTTATCTGACCTCATGCTTGGTGACATGTCTATGAGTTGCTTCTGAACATCTTCCACGATCTCCTTAATCAGTTCAGATTCAATCCTAGGAGTCAGGGAGAGAAGACACAGAAACGGACACAATTAGTCAGAAGTTTTAACAGTTCAAACCATTTAGATAAAATATGTCCAGCACAGTTAGCCACCGCTTTCAGAGCATCTTTCCATTTCTTGTTGTCCTCGGAGCTCGATTTAAGCTCGCCATTGATGATGGCAGAGTAGCGGCCAGAGTCCCCTGCCACGTCAGCCCAACGGACTTTGTAGAACACCGGCAACACTCGATGCCCGAATTTGGACATGCTTTGGACAATCGTGGCCACCTCGTCCAAGCACCAGGGTGAATCCGCAAACTTTTCGGAGAAGATCACGATCGAAAGCACAGATCTTTGGAGGACGGAGAGGAGCTTGTGATGCCTGGACCTGGAACTCGACGAGATTCTGGAAGAATAAGGGGAAAGGAGAAGGGAAAGTAAGAGAGAGAGGAAGAGAGAGAGAAGGAGGGAAAGTTTGTTATTATTTCTCAATGCCGTTATCACCATCTGACTTTGCCTTTTATAGCCAGAATACAAATTCTCGTTCAGTACCCAGACTTCCAATCTATTACAACTAACCCGAATGTTACAACTCCCCTTCCCTTCACCAAAGACTTGACCTCAAGTATGAATTTAAAGAAAACTACAAACTTCAAGTCTGGAACTGAGGAAACTTCTTCTTAATATCTTCAAGAAACTCCCAGGTGGCATCTTCCTCCCCCTGGTGCGACCACTGCACAAGAATCTGAGTAGCAGGCATATTATTCTTGGCTACCATTTTCCTGGCCAAAATCTGCATCGGCTCCACCTTTAAGCTTCCTTCAGCATCCACTTCTGGTAAGTATGGATGCACAGTTCCATGATTACCCACAGCCCGTTTGAGCAGAGAAACGTGGAACACAGGATGTATCACTGTTCCTGGGGGTAATTGCAGCTTATAAGCTACTGTTCCCACCTTATGAATCACCTTAAAAGGTCCATAAAACCGAGCAGCTAACTTTTGATTTGCCCTGGCTGCTACAGAGGTCTGCCTGAATGGCCTTAGCTTCAGATAAACTTCATCACCCACCTGCAGCTCTCGTTCAGTGCGGTGCCTGTCTGCCATCTGCTTCTGTCGATTTTGTGCCTGCGCCAGATTAGTTCTGAGAATGTCAACCACTTCTGCTGCTGTGTGAGTCTATCAGCCACTGCAGCTACTGATGTAGATAAAGGGTTTTGCACCGCAAACTGAGAGGGAGAGTATCCATAGAGCGCTTCAAATGGAGTAGTGCGAAGACTAGTGTGGTAATTCGTGTTGTACCACCACTCAGCCATAGACAACCAGGTGGACCAGTCCTGAGGTTTGTGGTGCACCATAGCCCTTAAGTACTCCTCCACACAACGATTAACTCTCTCAGTCTGCCCATCCGATTGTGGATGGTAGGCTGTAGAGTAATGCAAACGCACACCCAGCAATTCAAACAACGTGGACCAGAACACACTTGTAAACACTGCATCCCTGTCACTTACAATCGACTTAGGTAACCCATGTAACCTGTGCACACCGTCAAAGAACACTCGAGCAACAGACACAGCAGTATAGGGGTGACTGAGAGCAAAGAAATAGCTGTATTTGGTAAATCGATCTACCACCACCAATATCAACTCCTTACCTCCCGACTTAGGCAGCCCTTCAATGAAGCCCATTGACAGCTGCTGCCAACTCCCCTCAGGAACTGGAAGTGGTTGGAGTAATCCAGGATATGGTATGTTCTCCACTTTGCACCGTTGACAAGTACCACACTGCCCTACAAATTCTCTCAACTGCCTCTTCAAACCAGGCCACCAAAAATACTTCTTGATGCGTTGATAAGAAGCCTGCACCCCTGAATGCCCACCAATGGGGGATCCATGGAATAATTCCAGCAAGTGAGCCCTCATGGTACCAGCTTGACCCACATACAAGGAACCCTTGTGATACAGCAACCCATTCTTGACCTCATTAACACGAGGGCCCACCACAGGAACAGCAGCACTAATCATCATGTCCTGAATGGCTGTATCACCCTCATATGAAGCCTCAACATCAGTAAGCCAACTCGGTAACACAGCTGAAATAGCTTCACACTGCCCTGTGTCTGTAAATTTAGGATGCCTAGAGAGAGCGTCAGCCACTTGATTGAACTTCCCTTGGCGATACCTGATTTCAAAGTCCAGACCAAGCAACTTAATCAACCCTTTCTTCTGTATTTGTGTGTGTACTTTCTGACCCAGCAAATGTTTCAGACTCTCATGATCTGTTAATATAATGAACCTCCTACTTTCCAAATAATGGCGCCACTTGTCCACCGCCAAAATCACTGCCAAGTACTCTTTCTCGTATGTAGACAGCCCCTGCTTCCTAGGACATAAGGCCTGGCTGTGATAAGCAATAGGCCTGCCTTCTTGAGATAGTACAGCCCCTATACCCACACCACTTGCATCTGTCTCCAGAGTGAAGGGCTTGGTGAAATCAGGAAGAGTGAGAACAGGAGCCTGCACCATGGCTGTTTTCAACACTTCAAAAGCCTGCTGAGCTACTGAGGACCACTGGAAACCATCCTTTTTCAATAAATCAGTTAAAGGTTTGGCTATGCTACCATAATTTTTCACAAACTTCCTATAGTAGCCAGTCAGCCCCAAAAATCCCCTTAGTTCCTTCACTGTTTTAGGGACAGGCCATTCCTCCATTGCTTTGATCTTATTGGGATCAGTTGCTACCCCTTCCTGAGTAATCACATGGCCCAAGTAATCTACCTGAGTCTGGCCAAAATCACACTTAGATGGTTTGGCAAACAGTTTATGGGATCTAAGAATGGACAGGGTAGTGGCTAAATGGGTTTTATGGGAATCCTGATCAGGACTGTACACAAGTATGTCATCAAAAAATACAAGGATGAACTTCCTAAGATGTGGGGCAAAGATTTGGTTCATAAGGGCTTGGAAAGTGGCTGGGGCATTTGTAAGGCCAAAGGGCATGACAGTGAACTCAAAATGGCCATGGTGTGTTCTAAAGGCTGTTTTGTATTGGTCAGCAGGGTGCATTCGAATTTGATGGTATCCTGACAAAAGATCTAGTTTGGTAAAGTATTTGGATTGATGAAGTTCATCAAGGAGATCATCTATGACAGGTATGGGAAATTTGTCTTTCACAGTAAGAGAATTAAGCTGCCTATAGTCAACACAAAATCGCCAAGACCCATCTTTTTTAAGGACCAACAGAACAGGAGATGCAAAAGGGCTACGACTGGTTTGCACATATTTGGAAGCCATCATTTCTTTAACTAATCGCTCCATCTCATCTTTTTGTTGTTGAGAATACCTATAGGGTCTAAGGTTCACAAGTTGAGAATTTGGAAGAAGGGGAATTTGGTGATCACAGGCTTGGGAAGGGGGTAAGGAAGTGGGTTTGCCAAACACATCTAAGTATTCTGCCACAACTTCTTTCAAGAATTCAGGAACTTTACCTTCTTGCAGCACTCCAGCTCTTTTGTTGCCAACTTCCTCCACTGTTATGCTAAACAACTGACCAGACCCTCCCTTCCGGACAAGCCTGCACAGCTCCTTACCACTCATCATTCTACAGCTGCCCCTATCTTGCACCCCTGTGAGAACCACTTCCTGGCCTTTGATATCAAAAAACAGTTGCAGATTGTGGAAATCAAACTTGACAGGGCTCACTGTACGCTACCAGTCCAGTCCCAGCACCATATCTTGGGAGCCTAGCCTTATTATACGAACATCATGCACAAACTGGTGTCCTGCCATTTCCCAAGTAAACCCTGCACAGCTCATGGTACTCATCAGAACGGTTCCATCTGCCAGCTTCACTCGCAGGGGAGGAGCTGATACCAACACACACTTCAATTCACTGGCCTTAGATTCATGGAGGAAGGTATGGGTACTCCCTGTGTCCACCAAGATGTTGAACTTGTGCTTCCTGACACTTCCTTTCACTACAAGTGAGTTAACCCCACCACTTAGAGACTGCATTGCCACATCCACAGGGGATTCCATGAATCCTTCGACTCCCTCACAATCGCTGTCCTCACTGTCATCATCAGAGGCACTCCAATCTAGAGGAAGAGTGTTCCCCGAATCAGCAGCTTGGATCATGTTGAGTTTGTGGTTAGGAGTACAGGTATGGCCATAAAAATATTTCTCCCCACATTTGTAACAGGCCCCCTTAGAAGCATTGTTCTTGGTTGAAACAGGAGGGCCAGCAGACCTATTTCCTCCATTCGTCCTAGAAGAATCCCATTTACGTGCAGCAGGACCACCCACACTCGGAGTAGAGGATGGAAACTGTGGTCTAATGTTCTGATTCTTCCATTTCCTCCTCTTGGCTTCATTAGAAGTCTCCTCCAACTGAGCGATATGGAAAGCATCGGAAAGAGTCTGTGGTCTCATCATCGTAACAATGGGACGCAACTCTTCCTCGAGACCACTAATAAAACTGGAGATGAAGTAATCCTCCGAAAGAGCCGCATTATAACGCAGCATTTGCGACCTCAAATCCTCAAACTTCTCATAATAGTCAACCAGCGATCCCCTCTGTCGAAGCTTATTAAACTCTCCAACAACACCTCCCTGCGTCCAGTCACTAAAACGAGCACACAGTGAAACCACAAAATCACCCCATACCAACTCCCTACGGGTGGAAAGCCAGCCTTCATACCAACGATCCGCCCGCCGATCAAAATAAATCGCTGCCATCTCAACCCACTGATCAGCCGGAATAGCATAGATCTCAAACATCTTCTCACATTTTCTAATCCAATCCCTAGGATTCTCACCAGTAAAAATAGGGAAATCAAGGCGAGGGAGCTGCACCTGATGATTGTTAGGATTGTGATTGCCGCGAGGCGGTGGGGGTGGATGAAGGGGATGACCTCGCGGTGGCGGTGGAAAGCCCGCCGCAGCAGCTCCCAAATCCGGCAGAGGAAGAATGCCACGATCATTGTGCCGGTCTCTCGCAGCCAACGCCGCACCAGCCACAACGACCTCCGGCTGAGGTCTGCCAAGCTGATCGAGGCGGCGAAGCACCTCCTCAAAGCGCTGATCAAAACGGAGCTCGAGATCGTCAAAACGGTGATCGAGCCCCCCGACTCTGGTGGTGAGATTCGCGAACTGCAGAGAATGGCCGTCGGCCTTAGTGGATAGCTCCTGGAGCTGATTGTCACTCTGCGACTGCCGGTGTCGAAGTACCTCAGCTTGCTCCTCCGAATTCGCGATATACATCGCGACATCACTTCGTAGTTGCTGCAAATTGGTGTCTAAGGCATCGACGCGATTGCCGACGGTGGAAATGCGTTCATCAATCACTACGGTATGGGTTGCGGCCGCCATAGGTGTCAAGTTCAAGCTCTGATACCAACTTGTGATGCCTGGACCTGGAACTCGACGAGATTCTGGAAGAATAAGGGGAAAGGAGAAGGGAAAGTAAGAGAGAGAGGAAGAGAGAGAGAAGGAGGGAAAGTTTGTTATTATTTCTCAATGCCGTTATCACCATCTGACTTTGCCTTTTATAGCCAGAATACAAATTCCCGTTCAGTACCCAGACTTCCAATCTATTACAACTAACCCGAATGTTACAGAGCTCGTCGATGGACTCTGTTTTACGGAGCATGGTGCCGATGAAGGCTTTGATTTTCTTGTCGGAGAGAGCAGCCATTAGGTGGCTTGTAAAACCATTGCGGGTGTCGCCGCCTCTGAAGCACAAGAAGACATCGTACTCCCATTCTCCCGGATAGGAGGAATCACGGTGGTCAGGTGGAGATGAAGAAGAAGCAGCTGCTGCCATGACTCTGATTACTCAAGCTGATGCTCTCTGTCTCTCTCTGTTTCTGCAAAGAAGCTTAGTATTCTGTTTTTGCAGATAAGACACACATACTGCTCAAGAAAGAAAGAATGAAATTAACAGGGCAGGCGCTCGGCAGTATGTGGACACTGATTGGGAAAGTGTCTACCAAGATTCCGTTGCGTGGAAACTTCATCAGCAGAGTTAACCAACCGACAGAGGTCACTTTTCCATCCTTTGGGTTTGAAAATGAAGAAAAGGAAAAAGTGATAGTGGAATTGAGAAAAGATTGGAAACGATGCCACCTTCTGCAAATCTTACCATGAAAATCCTTACCCCACCACGCGTTCATACCTTTGGGTTTTAGGCCGAAGCACGACCACCTTGTGGCCAAAGCTTTGGAAACGACCATTGATTGCTGAATTTTGAAAGCATTGGGAAAATGTGGAGAAACGGCCTAGGAAAGGAAAGACTGCTTGGGATGGGAAACTACTTCTGGGATGAACAATCATGCATATAACTAAAATTCAATTTGAATCACTAATCATCAAATCCTTAGCAAATCAAAGAAATAAATTGATTGAACGAAAGAAAGAAAGAAATCTCTATCAAGAACTATGAGACTGATACAGACAACAACAGTCTTCCCAAATGGCACAATTCCTCATACAGTTGTTTTGAAAACTACAACAGAAAGCAGGAGTGAGGCCATGGAAATACAGCTGGGACATGCAACACAGTAATACCAGGGATAACCAAGCTCTTTGTCTGAGAGTTTCAGAGCAATAGTGTGTGTTCACAACTGAAGATATGTGCACAGTAGTATATTGTATACAATCACACCTACCAGAAAAAAAGTCATTGTTTCCTACTGGAAAGAATGGTTTCAACTGTTTCAGTGGTCCATACCATGCTATAAGAAAAGAGGAAAGAAATTGCCAAGATTATGATGGGAGGTGGGGAAGAATAGGAAGAAGGAAATTTTTGTCCACACTCCACACAGATATAAAATTTGAGATTTATTATCTGTATATATCTCAATCATTGGATGTTAATAAAAGATTTACCCTACCCTGTTACCTAGGACAGAGAAGCATCCTCATAAAAGAGAGCTAAACTTATTAATCATATTAAAGTTTTGCATCTGTAATAATAGTATTCATCATGTACCTGATTGCAGTCAAAGTGTAGTAGCTACTTCCGCCTCCACGTCCCTGCCTTGCTTGGTATTGCTTGCGAGATTGAACCTTCTTCAACACCCATCTACCTCTCCACATACTTTTGTCCTTACAAAACGATGCCACCTCCTGAAACTTTTTTGGATAATAGGCCTTCTGTGGCAGTATAGTACACCCTTGATAGCAAGTTCAGGCTAGAGTAGTCTGATTAGCTTGGAAAAAAAGGGGCAGTCTTTTGATTATAACCAAACAGTTACCAACTGATCTATGAAGTTTCGGAGCAATAGTGAGCGTCGACTTCATCTTGGGTCATTGTTTAATTTTGATTCCCCGGCAACTAATCTTATCTCTATTGTCATTACCATACAAAAAATCAACATATTCCATTTTAATTAACAACAACAATGAAAGGGTATGGACCAAACTATGGAAATTTGTCGCCTTCATCGTCATCGTCACCACATTATGAACCTTTCTTTGTTTCCATTATCCCTTAATTGTCATCGGCATCGTCAGGGTTTGATCTATATATGAACACAAGTCAAGTGTATGGCTACTGTCATGAACCCATAGAACAGAAGAAGGAAGGGAATACCCGCGGTAGTATTTATGTTACCAGAAGATGCAGACTTCATCAACTCTATACTCTGCCTCTACGGCTTAGAATTGCACATTTTTTCTAGAGATAACGGTGACATCAATTTATTAACTCCGAAAAGGGCAGAAGAATACAATAGCAAGGCACCTAACCTTCTCCAGATTTGACTCCAGAGATAGCAAGATCACAATTCGACGATGATTTGAACTTCGAAATTTCAAGTTCAGCGTACCACTTTCGAGACCCTATTTGGGAGGGATTTTGTGACTATTATGGCAAAAGAAAGCTTCAAGCTTTGAGGTCAAAGTTTTTTTGAAGAGGGGGAGCCTGATATGATCCCAATTGGATCAATCCACAATTTACAATTACTTGTCAAAGAAGCCATCTCAACTTACAAGAAGAATTCTGATTTTTGACAGTGTTGAAACAGTTTCAGGTAGCCTACTTTGCAAGCTTTCATCTCACAAATGGCTCAATGGAAATTGGATATCAAGAGCTTGTTTTACAAGTAAAATTGCCATGTTTCCAATGGTATGCTTTTTGGATCCAGAAGATGTCATTAACGTTGTTTTCCAAGGCTTCAAAGTTGCTACCTCAAAACTGGAAAACTGCCAGAAAATGGCTAAGGCAGAAAACTGTGTGGAGATACCAACTTTGAAGGCCTATATCTGGAGATTGGAGCATGATCTCGGGCCGATTCAAGTTGGAGGTGAAAGAGGGAGTTTTCTTATACAAAGGCAAGGAATTGGTTGAGTTCGAATCAACCTAGAAAACCATTTGCGAAGGGCTCAAAGATGCTATGAAGCCTGTTTTCCTAGGCAGACTTGCTTGTGTTTTAAGTCAGTTCCTTGGCCTGCAAGTTACCTTGTTTTACTCGAATTCTTTAGCCTATTCCTTTTCTAAATTAGTTTCCCAGTTCTATTAGGTTTGTGTTAGGCTTTTATTGTCTTTAAATAGCTTTCAATTTCACGTTGTAAAAGGATCCAAGTTTTAGTTGAATGAAAATTGCTCCTTTGTGAGAATTGTGTTCTTTGAGAGTTCTCAAGAATCAAACCCTTGAGTTAGTCGTGTGAGGAATTCCATTGCTAATTCGAGAACCCTTGTGAGGCTTTTCTGTGAGGATTCCAGATTCGTTTTACAAGTTTCTTATCAATCAAATAATCACCTTGATTGTGGCGAAATTCTACCTATCCGTTTTATCTTTCGTAGAAGAGTTCCGAGCTGTGTATTCTGATCAAACAAAGCACCCCTGGTGTTTTATCATAATTTTTAGAACATATTATTTCTTATAGTAAGGCAACAAAATTCTAAGAAAAATAAATTATATGTGCAAACTCTCCGTGGAGCAGCTCAACATCAAATAATGAAATAAACGATAACCCCATTATAAAAAAAAATTCCTATTTATACATTAGTAATGTTTGAGTCCGTTCAATTTAGTCGAAGGTTCTAACAAAGTCCTTTTGTGTATAATTTACTTATTTACTTACCATTTCAAATCCAACTTTTCCTTTGTCGCGTCCAATTTGTATCTTAATTTCCTAAAAAATCATCTATTAAAATTTAACTGCCATTGTAAACACTAATTCTGAAATTTTACAATTACTTAAGCACTTTCCCTAAAAACAATTATTTAATGTTAAAATAATTTTTAATTTTTAATTTACAAACGATTATTGCAAAAGAGGAATCCATGAATGGCAATTAACACAGAATAAAATGTAAACAAAATCAAGGAGTTAATTAGTCAAATGCATTCTCGGTTGTTAATTAGGAAAATAGATTTTCGATTTTAATTAAGAAAATAATTAATAATTTAAAAAAATGGAAATAATTAATATTCACTTATTTTCGATTGTCAACCAAATATCGAAGGTTCTGGAAAAAAATTATGTCCGCTTGCCGGCGGTGGTCGGGGTACGCTCGTCGGCGTCGGACGGTTAAGGCAACGAGCTCCTTCCTCGACGGTTGTGGCGACATCAACAACGACCCTCTTCAAAAGTTGGCAGCGTCGGATTGGAGTTGTGTGGAGAGCAGTGGCGGACCCAGAAATTTTTTATAGGGGTGTCCTCTTTTAAAAAATAAATTAAATAAAAATAATTAATTAATAAAAATAAAATTGTAAATATGAAAATACCTTACTCGTACAGGTTAAAAAAGTCCATGATGTGTTTTCATATTCGGAACTAATTGTAGAATACACTTGGTGTCTATAGTGTTTAAAATTTTTTGTCTCTATATACACTACTAGACAATCATTCACGAACTTATCGCATATTCTATTTGTAAACTTGTTCTTGATGTAACCCAAAGCTGAAAGACTCTTTCAACATTTGCCGTACAATCATAAAATCAATACAAATTAAGGGTAGTTTGAAATTAGTTTAATTGTTAGGTTTTTAAAATAATTAGAGATAGGGAATGCCATTTTATTATTACACATTGTTCAAAATCGAACAACAAATGAGTTTAGCTCTACGGAAATTAAGTTTATTAATAATAATAGTGTTCAGGATTTAAATTATCCAACATACCACTTATATTCCTATACACAAATGACAGTAGGATAATCAAATTTTCAAATTTAAGGGGTGTCCCTCACTATCAATTATATTTTTTATCCATACGTAAATTACCACCGGGAGTTGGATAATCGTTTTCCATAAATTTAGGGGTGTCCGGGGACACCCCTAAACCTCCCTGGGTCCGCCCCTGGTGGAGAGGGAGACGAGCGGCCGGCGGCGGGAGGGGATGTAGAGGTGGCGTCGAGTTAGAGTTGTGTGGCGAGGGAGGTTTCCAGCCGGTGGTGGCTTGGAGTTGGAGGAGAAGGATGGAGTTACGGCGGCGGAGGGAGGTTGCCGGCGGCTTGGAGTTGGAGGAGAGGCAGAGTTGTCGCGATGCCTTGGTGATGGATGGGAGGGAGGTTTCTGACTGTTAGTGTTTTACATGGAAGGAGGGTAAAATTTTAATTACGTTGAAAACTATAGTCGGCAAATAGTAAATACTAAGGCGGCAAATAGAAGTTCAGCAAATGATACTGTAAATATTTTATAAATATACCATTACAAGGTTGTTAAGGTTGTTGTTGGGCCATGGGGGATCACCATCTGGATCAATGACCCACGTAGTAGAAGATGGATAAAAGGCCCAGGTAGCCGAGGTAACAGGGAAGTAGGCCCAATAACCCAAAAGCTAATGTTAGGGACCAGAGGGACCGAGACGGCCCA